CCTTTTTTGTACAGTAATCATGTTGAATTTTCCCACCAACAAGGATGCTGAGTTTTTTGGTTGGTGCCTTAATTCTTTGACATCCATGGGAAAATGATTTTGATGATCCTAGTTGACATTCATGGCCATACCTCCTGGGCTCCCGCCAAAGGGGCCCGAGATGTTCACGATTCCGAGTTGCCAGGAACGCAACGAAATTTTGGGCGTGAAAATGCGTCTTAAACACATGTTGGCTGGTAAATATCCACATGGTGGGTGACCAACCACCAAGGACCAAAGCCTCACAGTGACGGAAGGACCCTGATATGCTGCCCTAGGGCGGAGGAGCTAAGAAATCCCAAGTTTTCATGGGGAGATCAGGGGGTTCATTTTCGGGCGCAGTGGAAGTGGACAGAAAACTAGTTTCAAGGTATTTGTCTTGAACAGATGTATATATATATATATGATATGATTTAATATAGTAATATGATATATGTATCACACACATATATATATACATATAGTATAATATATATATATATATATATATATCGATGAATAGATGTTTGCCAGAGGCAGGATGATTTGGATATGGCCCCCATCCAGAAACCACTGACTATGACAATAGTCAACAGCCAAGCTTTGAGGACTTTAGAATCACATAAGCAAATGGTCATGATCCTGGGGGTTGTTTCTTAGCTGCGTAGCTGCGTCCAAGCTCTCACCAAATCGCACAAACATGATGCTAGAAGCAAACCTGTATGCCTGTATGCAGCTGTGCTTCCCGAGTTCGAGATTGTTTGAAGGATTTCAAAGGGCACAGAAAACCACAATGATTGCGGATGATTGGGTGCATGTTTTGTCAAGCTGTACCCTTCAACTGTCATCGACATGTACCCACTTTTCTATGTATACACTGCCGTAAAACTAGCCTGACACCGGGTGGTGAGGGCAATGCAACGACCTGCGACATTCTACAGGGGAAGTATCTCAAAACTGGCTTACTTGAGATTGTTTTTTTTAAATAATCCTTCTAGATGCATGGGTTATATCATGTGTATTCTCCACAACATGGTGCCACCAGGGCGTGTCTGGTCCAGGAGCGTCATCAATCACCTTTAGTCCATCTAGGGAAAGCAAAAGAGGCGCTGAATCGGAAGACCACATGGCTGGGTACAAGGTGCCAAGGTTCCCCCCCGTTAACAGTTATGAGTTATGAGTTTGGTTTAAAATTCCATCAGCTACAGACATATTTGCCATACACCCTAGTTATAAAAACTATATGAGTTCTCAACCAACTTGGCTATAAAGGGGGGCCCACCTTGTAATCATCCTAAAATCATTATGGGATTTATATGGATTTATGGGGATACAATCGATGGACATGACATATGTGGATATTTCACCAGCAAACAGGTTGGTGTTTTGTGTTTTTGTGTTTTCCCCTGGGGTGATGACACCAATTACAGGGCAGGGATTCACCAATCAGAGACTCAGCAAGAGTAGGTGCTAGGATGTCTATTGGTGCTGGGATGTCCACAGTATTGTACATTCAGCAATTGCAACATGGGTTGCATCGACTCAATCTCAAAGTGACAATGTCTTTTGCATGTCGACCTGTGCCCATAGATCACTTGAGCCCTGTTATGTTTAACGATCATCAATGGTGACAAGCTGCCGCGATACTGGTTGATACTAGCTTACTAGCTATATTCAACTGGCCAGCATCATCCTGTGGTTCTGATTTGAACGATGCTTTTGGCAATCTTACCCGGCAAATCCCGGCAATGACCGGCGAATCCCACATGATTTCAGTTGTGAATTTGGCAATGATTTGCCATTGCCTTTTTTGTCCATATTTTGTATGCTGGCTTGATGAGGGATTCTGATAGCACGGGGAATCCTTTGCGCGTTTTTTTTTGTAGTGCCATTTGCATCCATGCCTGACCGTGCAATCCATATTGACACCATTTTACACCTGCTAGTTGCCAACATGTGCATGCGATATGGCATTGTCATTCTGTGGCTGGCATGTTAGATGAATCCATCGGTTGACCCTATTTCAGAAATGCCAGGCCCGGCTGCGCCCAAGCAGGTGCCCGAAAAGGGCCCCTTGCAGGTGCAAAGATTGGAATTGATTGGAGCTTTCCATACATGGTGGTACCCTAAAATGGATGGTTTATAAGGGAAAATAATCTATACATGGATGATTTTGGGGTACCCCCATTTTAGGAAACCTCCCATTGAATTGATGTTGCTTTGAGCATGAGATTGAACCTGTAAACATACCAATGGCCAGCAACCAGATTCTAACCAGCAACATTTCTCTGGTACCCTTTGCCAGGCAGATACTCTCCTTAGGAAACAATATCTCACATCCACTTTGTGTCAGGGTACTTTGTTGGTCCCTGGGATGATTGAGCCAGGTGTTGAGCCTGTTTGGTGAGAGCTCCGGAATCTATGCAGCTTGGTGCGGCTGCCATGTTCTTTCAAACGCCAGTGGCGTGCCTGACTAAATGATCTAAATGATGGTTGGTAAGGGAATTATCCCCAACAATTCATGGCGTATTCATGACGTATTTGTTGTTTTGCACCTGTTGCAATTTGCAAAGGCTAATGAGTGGAGTTTGAACGAACCTTGGGACTTTGATTTGAGATGATTTACGCAAAAGCCATGACTTGTCCGTTGGAACATGTTGGAATGTAGAGTCGAGATGTCCAGCTTTGGGGTCAGGACACACCGCACCAGAGCCTTGCCAGGAAAGGCGCCAAAGTTACTTGCGCCTTGCTGGAGAGTGGGATGCCGAGAAAACCCTGATGCCACAAAGGCGTGCCTACCATCCGCTTTATTACTGCATAGCCTGTTGCTCCACCTTTTGCAGTTTTTTTTGTAAAATCCTGGTTTTGCTCGCTTTTGAGGAGTCATTTTGAATATTTATTGAGATGTTGGTTCCTCAAATCGCCACTTTGCTGGATGACTTCCCTTTTCTCCACTTGTTCTTAGGTTCCAATCCCAAGTTTCGTTGTTGAACTCCTCCATTATTCACAGGTTGCCACAAGCGAAGCCAAAGCGAAGCCAAGGCGAAGCCAAAGAGTCTGCTTCAGCTCTGGAGTTGCTAGCAGCGAGGCGCACGCTCTCCGTGGTGCTTTTAATGTCAACCAGAATATATTTAAGAATAAAACTTAAACAAAATAAAACAATGGGGGGTTTAGTAAGTTTAGCATCAGGAGATTCACCTTATATAGATTTATTTAGATGGAGGACATTGAACAACCAAATGCACAATCCTCGTAAGAAACCCAACCCAACAGACCACCGCAACGCTTGTTGCACAGATCTCACCTGTAGAAGCCAGATGACACGCTTTGTGGCAATCTGACATGGCGATCGTAAACAAAAAAATCACTAGTTCAATAGTCTGTTGCTGTTTAACCCCCCGAACAGTGTTGCTGATTCATCCATTTCTTGCATTTGTTGCTGGTAAAATTGCATTATATATTTTTTTGAACTTATGTGCTGGTGAAATCCCCGTCTACGCCCGGGGGATTTTCCACTGCTGTGTTTTTGAGCTCAGTGAGACTGTACCAGGAACCAATGTCACAAAGATGACATCGCCTACGTCACCCTCAGCGAGGATTGGAAACCCCTGCTTGGTACACTGTGAAAAAATGCGTTTCACGGTTCCAAAGTTTAAAAACACTCCTTTGTTGCCATTGGACCCATTGGATCAATTCACTGAAAGCTGGTCAGACTGAGAGTTCCCTACCCATTTCATGGGACCCATGAAAGCTTGATATGTTCTTCTCTGCGACAATTTCACAGGAGCCACGATTTGATGAGCTCGGAAGCCAGCAGCACCCTCAGTTGTTTTTTTTTGCAACTGATGGGTTTCCCATTCCCTGTTTTTGGGGGGTCTAGATTGGTTACCCTGTGAGAATGTCACCCGGCAACGGAGAATCGGCAGCACCTGTTGGTGATCAAATATGTTTACCAGTTGCCATGTGACCTAGGACTGGGGAATCCATTGTTTCTATTTGTATTCTGGTGTAGAATGGGAGTGCTTGTGGCATCGCGGACAGGTACAAGAGCCACTTTGATATTGCAAGCCTGGCATGGAGTCAGAGTAGGAGTCTGGGTTCTGGGATGAGCCCTGAAGCTTGAATGATCAGCATGCCACGCTTCAAGGCATTCAGTTGAAAGGCTAGCCTTTCCCGGGGTTGCCGACATGCCTTCCATTTAGGATTTCATCAAGGATGATCAGTCTGTAGAAGGCATAAACTTCATACAGGCAAGTAATAGAGGAGTATAAGTATAATACAGTATGATTTCAACAAGCAGGTATGGGCATTATGCACATCCATGCCGTTGTGTTTTTAATAGCTGCATTATTTTATGCATGTTTATTGTATGTTTGAATTTTGAATACGCATATTTGTGATTGCACTAGCACCATTGTTGTTGTACGCTCCACCCCCCCTTCTGTTGGGCATATGACATACGTAGTCCCCAGGTGATGCGTCGCTATTTTCTGATTTGTCTGATGGAATGGTGAAGAAACACATGTTTTGCGCTTTGCGTCCTTCATGTATTGGTTCAATCCGTTTTTTTTGCTGTTTCTGTTTCTGGTTCGACCTGCATCGTAAAGTCTCATAGAATGCTGATTAATTAAGGTTCTATCTTTAATTGCTTTGTTCCCCAATGTTGTCTCCCGTTATTGCTCATTTGTTGCTGGTTATTGCTGGTTCAATCGCAATTAATTGCTGGTTATTGTTGGTGAAATCCCCATGTAGTGTTACAGTAGTTGCTCATTTGTTGCTGGTTTAGTCACCGTTAATTGCTGGTGACATCCCCTTCAATTGCTGGTGCAATCCCTATTTTTATATCTTTGTCCAGCAAGATCTGAAGGTTCCCATGTTCGTTGAGCAAAACCTATGGCACCATACCTGCAGTGGGGATGAACATCAACGCCAGGTCACCCTAGAACCTCCAGCTTTGGCATCCCGGAGAAATGGAAGAAACATCTGGCAACATGCACGTGTCATTGGATGAGTTGCTTGTGATATCCAAGCCTTTATCATTCTTTGTTACCCTATGATTATATATATATATATTACATATCTATATATGTATGTATATACATATTATATATAATTATATTTTCGGTATACACATATTATATATAATTGCGTGTTTATATATACATATATATATATTATTATTATTCATATGCAGACGGGTTTCCATCAAATACATTTTTCCTGACATGGTAGTAATCAGACTCCTTATCCGATTTCACATCATCATCATCATCATCATCACCATCATCATCATCATCATCATCATAACATGTGGCCTTTCCACATTAATACTCCCAGGTCATTTCATGCCAAGCAAATCTCTTCCTGAGGCGCCCACATATGGTAAGCTGGAGGAGGGTGCACGGCTGTGCGGGAGCCCATCAGTCACTGAGCTGCAAGCGGCCAGTTTCGTTGTCGACCGATTGAGGTATACCGCTTGGAGCGCCCTGGCTGCAACGGCGTGCCGACCAGGAGGCTGGGGCCACCTCAGGGCTTGCGCTGCAACGGGGGAGGGTGGTGAGAACTGCCAACCTGTCACCATGCACGTCATTTTGATTCATTTTGTTTATAGTGGTATGATACAGTGATATATTGTGATATGTCATGATATGTGATGAGAGTACAGCAAATACATGTCACAGATATCCCACAGTCGAATCAATGGCCCGTTCCCAACAGGATCGCGAAGGGGTTCCACCTTTCTCGAGTGATTGGATGGAATCATTTTGGGGGCACACTTTCCCTACGTGGTTTCCGCGTGTTTCTACCCTTTGGCCATTGGCAAACCTTCGATTTGTAGATGACACACTATAAGAATGTAGGATTTGATATTGCCAAGTTAAGTTTAACCTGGGATCAAGTCGCAAGATCAGTCAACTGCACATAGAAGGCAACCATAGGCAACCCAGCTGTAAACGTCAAAAGCCCAGTTATTTGGTTTTGTCCAAAGATGGTTGATGGGCCTCCGAACTTGTAATTTTCGTGGGGAAATTATGTCCACAACCACCTGACGAAACCTTGCATTCTTTCACGAAGAGTTACTGGTGCAGTGAAAATGTGAAACCAACCCCCAACCCATCCCCACCTTATTTCATGGCAGAAACACCACCCCAATGGCGCTATACCCCCAGGCCTGCTGTTGGTTGCCTGTCGTAGCCGAACCATGTCCCCTGTGCGGTGCAGAGCTCATTCGGATGCTGTTTCTGGTTGACACGGGAGAACTATTAAAAAAAACAGCCTCTGTTTCACGACTGGATTCTTTCAGCCGAGGGTTTAGGTTATTTGTTTGTTTATTTATTTTTTTTGGTTGTTGTTGTTGTTGTTGTGTCAAGTTTATCTTAGGCCAAGAGAAAAATTGAAAAATAGATCCTAAATATGATAATCAATGTTTTTTTGACTTAGAGACGTGACGCGTCTTCGAAGGTATGGATTTTTCGGACACATGACTATGTACAATTATGTATATCATATCATATAATGCATACAATTTAAAATATTAAAGAGTGAATTCCAACCCCGGCTTTCTTTATTTACGTCTTTTAAGAAGTGCCAAAAAAAAAGAGAGGGTTCTCCAGCAAACATAGGCCCCGTTCAGGATGATCATCCAGCTTGATCAAAACCGTCCGACGTCGGATGGGCCTTTTTTTGCATCGCCGGAGCATGCAGGAAAATAATATAAAATAATATCATCATCTTAAACCCTCGATTGTTGTATTGTTTCCAGTCTTTCTCACCTTAAGTGGTTTTCACAACCTTTGCGGTGGCAACTAAGGCTGTTGCGCTGCATCAACTTGGGGATTTGGTCCCGGGCCTTGGTTGGGCGTCGGAGAAAAAAAAACCGTCCCCATTTTCAGAACAGCGAAATTTGGGTGATTTACCCAAGCTTATCCGCAATCTATCTATTTGTCTATCTATTTGTCTGTCTATATATCTATTTATCTATCTATCTATTTGTCTATCTATTTTGTTATTTATCTATTTAGCTATGTTTTCGATTGATCTATTTATCTATGTGTCTATCGATCTACATCTAATCTAATCTAATGTAATCTAATCTAATCTAATCCAATCAAATCTAATCTAATCTAATCTGATCTAATCTAATCTAATCTGTCTAATCTAATCGATGTAATCTAATCTATCTCATCTAATCTATCTATCTAATCTAAATCTAACCAAATCTAATCTTAATCTAATCTAATCTTAATCCTAATCTTAATCTATCTATTCTCTATCTATCTCTATTTATTTCTATCTATATCTATCTATATCTATCTATATCTATCTATATCTATCTATATCTATCTATATCTATCTATATCTATCTGTATCTATCTATATTTATCTATATCTATCTATTTCTATCTCTATCTATCGATCTCTATCTATCTATCTATATATATATATATCTATTTATCTACCTATCGATCTATCTATCTATATATATATATCTATATTTGTGTCTGTATATATATATATATTTATCTATCTATTTATCTATCTATATCTATCTTTCTATTTATTTATCTATCTATCTACTTTATCTATTTATCTATTGATTTATCTATCTATCGATTGATCTATCTATGTATCTATCTATTGGTTTATCTATGTATTTATCTATGATTTTGTTTACCTATATATTTATATTTTTAAATTTATATTTATATATCATCTATCTACCTAATCTATCTATCTATCTATCTATTTATCTATTTATCTAGTTTTATATCTATCTATCTAATCGAATCTAATCTAATGAATCTAATCTGATCTGATCTAATCTAATCTAATCTAATCTATCTATCTATCTATCTATCTATCTATCTTTCTAATCTTTCTAATCTTTCTAATCTATCTAACCTATCCAATCTATCTATCTATCTATTTTATCCTATCCTATCCTATCCTATCCTATCCTATCCTTTCTATATGTATATTTTTTTTCTGAATTATGTCTTTCTATCTTGCTGTCTTTCTATCTTTCTATCCTTCTATTTTGTTTTTTATTTTTTATCTTTGTATCTTTCTATATGTTGATTGTTCTTTCTTTATGTATATATATATATACATGCACGCATATTTGTACGTATAGCTATATCTACCCTACCCTCAGCTTCAGAACTTCCCTTTAACAAAAAGACGGGTGAAACCCTGGTTTTTCCATGTTTCTCCTGTATATATCCTCTAATTCCCGCCCTTCTTCAGTTCAACGTATCCAAGATTCCAAGAAATGTTGGATTCAAATGACTAGTGACTAGTGTTTGCAATTTTCTTGAATTTGGAGGCATTCAACTTCGATAAGTTCGGGTCAGGATTTCGGACCTCCGGCAATCCGTGTGCAACCTGTGATTTAAATCATGGCTGCGGAGCTCCAGAACTGGTTTAGAAACTATTGATTTTCAACTGGTTCTGAAAGCCTTTTTGGGGGCTTGGAATTCCCCAAAACAGACCAAAGTTTTGATTGCAAACCCTGGGGGTTTGAAGTCACACCAGATTTTTTTTTGTAGGTTCGCAGGGTCAAGGTACGTACGGTACATCATTATAGTAAGTAATAACATACGATACTCCATTATTCTTCAAATTATATCAATATCAGGTATAGATCCCATAGCTTGTTTGCTGGTTGGAAAGTCGCCCCGGTGGGCGATTACACTCTCGGCCCAGGTCTTCAGGCCTTCGTGGTCGTTTGGTGCACCGCCCGGAGCACAGACACCTTGACCTCATGGATCCTTATCAGTGAGTTATAAGTGAGTTATAAGGCTATTTATGAAATGATAATCCCAGTTCTTAATAGTTTATAACTATGCAATTATGACTTGAGCATAGTTTGGCAGCCATGGGAATTTTTGTGCATGCCTACCTGTGTCGTCTTCTTCAGGTTCCGCGCATGCCGGCCTTGACAGCCCCATTCATTTCGCTGGGCGGCCAAGGCATTGACATTGCAATTCCAACTCAAACATTTAGTATTGCAAACAGTTTCACTAGTTGTGTGCTCAAGTCACAAGTTGAGGTCAAAAAGTCTTGGCTTCCGGGGGGAAGACTGATTTAGATTTATTTAGATTCATTTTGAAGTTTGACTTCAAATGCAAACCGACAATCCCATTGAGATTTTGACCACATCTGATATAATCTGGTTGGTGGTTTGGAACATTTGGATTATTTTCCATAATATATGGGATGTCATCCTTCCCATTGACGAACTCATATTTTTCAGAGGGGTAGGTCAACCACCAACCAGTAATAACCAGTAATTATATCCACATAATTCGTCAACTTAGTCACCTGAACTGGCCACCCGAATACAACTGGATAGCTGAGGATGCCTTAAATCAAAACGATCATAAACAGATGCCCAAAAGCTCATGGCATCCAGTAATCATATGCATGGCAAACATAAATATATAAGTACACCCAAACCGAAGACATCCTTGTAACCGTGATATTGAAGCTAGAAGTGCCTCGACAAGATACACACACTCCGCGCCCAACCGCCCTTTTGTCAAAACACGCTTGCCCTTGAGATCCCTAGGCCTTACAAGACACCAATCAATTCCAGTTGATTGGAATCCGATTGTTTGAGCGAGCTGCCCAATAGGGGGAAAAAAACGCAGCTGGCTGGAACATCCGCAGTTTGCCTCGTAGAAAAATATTTTTTGTGTCAATGATTTGCAATGCATCTAATTCTCAATTCATCTATTTCCATAAGCTGAATTTGAAGGCATCAGCCTGAAAGAGCCAAAGCTAGCTCAGTTTCAGCCATGGGTGTTGACTTAATGGTTTCAACGTCCTGACATTGCTTGTTTCCTGCACAGTTACACTTCCGATTCAAATGCATTGTGTTTTGGAGTTTGGGCCTGCTCTGTGGCCATGGACATAGATTCATGTGTGTCGTTGTCAAGTTTGGGCAACTACACAAACCCTCAGGATTAGGCTCAGGTTTCACATGAGTTGCAAGAACACCTCACCAGAGGCCCAGTCTGCAGTGCTCTGAATCTTTGGGATGATTGAAAACCAATATATCTGGATAAGTTAGACACACCTCACTCCCATGTCACTGGAATGATGGTTAGTAGGGTCATGCTAACTAGCTCAAACAAGCCATATTTTCAGGTTGGAGAACTATTCCAATTTATGCAGACATATTGTTTCATCTAGATTAGGAAGATCCCAATTTGACCAATTGATCAGCCTTTTGACTTTTGAGCTAGCTTCTGGGAAAGTGCAGAAAGATAGAGAAAGAGAGAGAGAGAGAGAGAATTACAGCAACTGCAGCCAATGCGAAGAGTCGAGATCTGAATCTGTCCCCTTCAGAACTCGAAGCACACATATGCATAATGTATGCATTTAAGTCCATCCAGCCATGGCAGCAACATTTGAGCTTGGCTGAAACAAGCGCCTCCTCTGCAGAATCAACCATCCCCTTATCAGGGGATGGTCACACCCCCATTCACAATACTTGAGAGATTCTGATAGATCTTGACAGTAATACATAGCAATACAAGGCGGGCACCCCCAGTTACACGTTGGTTTGTAAACCCCATCAACTATAGATACTATAGGTATTTGCTTTAAAGCCTAGCTATATGAGTCATGAACCAACTCAGCGATTTGGGGGAGGGTCATCGACCAGCTGTCATCCGGGCCTGCTGGTTATTTACCCGTTGGTTCGCTTATGTTGATGACATATATAATACACATACACATACATTTACTGTCTGTAATATATATATATATAATTATATAATTATATATATGCACGTATATTTGTTCAATATATACACATATATTTTGATACATATTGTGTTTAACATCATTTGCTACACACATGCATACAGACACATGCATACACACACACATGCATACACACATGCATACACACACATGCATACACATACGCACATATGTATATATATATATATATTGACGAACATACAGATAATATGTATTTGTATGGATGTATCTTCATAGTTTTTGTAAGACATATCTACAGTAGACACATACTTCAAGCCCCTCTGACCCCAAACAGATGCTTTTGTGCCACTCTGGGCCGGTCCAGTTTCACATTCATTGGCTTGGTTTAAGGGAAATCTTGCAGGAAACTGCCAGATGTCACGAGAAACACCATTGTTTCCTGAAGATGTTCGTTTAAATTAAATGAATCCAATTTATCACCATGATCCCAAGCAATTTGTTAGTTACATCCATTTACATCCCGGAAGAATCTGTGACAAAAGAACGTATCCTTTGCTTGTCCCCATTACCCTTTCGCAAGCAGAGGCTTTCGGTAGCCAGCTGTGCTGCCGGCATCTGCCGGCATGTCCCAGACATCTGAGAAGGAGGAGCGGGAGGAGAACAAAGAGGAGGAGCAAAAGGAGAACAAAGGCGCTGGTGAAGCCTATCCTGGACCGGAGGATATGTTTGACCTTTCAAATTGCGGTAAACCTTCAAAAGGCATTTCAATACTTACTAATACTTTGGTTTTACGGTTTTACGTCGGATCTGGCCTTGCGTGTCAGTGTAAATGGAGCAATAATATGTGCGAAATAAATCGAAATAACCTATACAGAATGCAGATGAATGCAGGATATCGAAGATTACCCTGCTTGTAAGTCAACCTATAGCTATGGAAAATCACCATGACTTAATAATATTTAATAGGTAGATCTGTAAATGGGCAATTTTCGGTACGCTGCAGGCGATGCTGCTGAGAGTGGCGGCTCAACTCCAAGCCGGTGGTCGGGGTATACAACTGTAGAGTCACCCAGAATGCCCAGAATGGGATGAAACATGGCGAACCTACCAAAAAACAACCATTTTCATTGGGTTTTCATGCAGCAAGCGAACGATTTTTAGTATATAAATGGTGTGTTTTTATTGTGTTCGTTGTTGACATTGTATGACATTTCCTAGTTTGCATGAAATCATGTTTTCTTATGTCCTGGTATTCAAGTCTGAGAAGAACGAGGTTGGTTGTGATCCTCTAATAAACAGGTAAGATTGCAGCAATCTATGTATGATTGGCTGGCGCTGATATTACTGGATGTTCATGCTATTTGGCCCGATCATGCCCACACCCGTACACACACAGAGAAACAAACATGCGTCCCCGCCATTTGTTCCTGCACCAGCCACCTGTATATTACACATGTATGTATGAATTATTCTGCACACACACAAACATATAATATAATATGATATAATATAATTAATAATACAATACACACACACACATATATATATTGACAGATGCACAAGGCATCAAGGGCCCCTCAGGGTACACCAGAATTTCATGACGAGGATCTTCCCAAGCCTCCAGCGTCTTCAACACCAACGCGGGGGAAGTGCCGGACTTCATTGCACCCAAACTGCCCGAGAGAATGACCTCCCAGATCGCTGCAACGGCTGCGCAAATGACCACGAGCCGAGGGGATAGGCAAGCACCAAGAGCACTGGGGTTCAGCCAGGTGGCATGGGGCAATTGCAATATTGTACATGTTACAGTACATACATATATACAAATTGTAATGATATGTATATATATATATATTTATTTATGTATTTGTTTGTTTATTCATTCATTCATTTATTTATTTGTAGATGATCAGGAATGGACACAAGAACTTTGGTAACTAGTTACTTCTGTGTGGGTTTATGAATACATATGCATTGTATGATGCCTGATGTTTCATTGCGCGCGGCACTGTGTCATATTTTTTGCCAAACGTTTGCGATGTGGCAGACACATCAAGAAGTATTGGTAGGCAGATGTCAATCTCAACTTTAAACTGTACTGTACCAATCTTGTCTCATGGTTGGGACATACCCACCTAAGGTAAATTGTGTCTATTGCCTATTGCCGGGCAATTCCATGCAATTCCCTTTTTTTTGTTGCTGAAATTCCGTTTAAAGTTCAGTTTCTTACAATTAAGTCATATATTAAAACCATGTATTATACAATGTAACTATATGTAACTATTATATTATATATATATTTATATTATCTCCATTTCTTGAATCCTCATTTACAGTTGGTTTCCCAAGGAGGGAAACCCAGTCTGAGACCACTGCAGGAAGACGCTGCGAAAATCAAACACTCTACGTCGCCTGGTGGCGTTAACGATCGAATCCACAGTCTAAACTTTCAGGCTGAAATTGGTGTGTAATATGTGGATATGTATGCATGTATAATATATATATATATGTATAATTATCGTTTAATGAAACCATCTATTTTTATATACACAGAATTGCAATTAAACACATGCATGGATTTGATTTTTTAATGATTTATATGTGTGTATATCTAGTGTGCTGATGTTTTTCTACATGTTTCGATCATTAGCATAGTCCAATTGTCTGGAGATCATGTTTGACTGTGAACTGAATATGATTCCACCACTTGTTCGACATGTTTTTCCCTTCAGATTTCAAGTTTGCAGGGCCAGGATTGAGAGGGTTTATAAAGGGCTTATTTTCCGCGGGGGTAACCTTAAGGGTTCGCCCAGGTTCCATACGCAGCACTACCAGGCGGAAACCTGTTCTCGTTTGGCCGTTTGGGTCAAAAAAACAGCTTGAAGTATGTTTTGCTATGCAATGAGCATCCAAAGCTAGTTTTGAAGAAATCCCAAAAGCGAAAGGATGCAACCTAGGAATATCCCCTATCTTGGAAGTTCCTTTTTCCACCCGTTTCCCTAGATCACATCATTTTTTGGGGATTAGGGAGTGAAACCAGGTGATGCGAGGTGGTTGATGTGCTCAAACTCAAAACACATTTGTTTTTCCATTGTTGATCTCGTTCTCCTAGGTACAAGTATAGATCCCTAGGGTTTCACTTGGTTTCATGGTAGATCTTTCCCACAATCGAACGTTCCCTGCCAGGCTAGCTGGTGACGAGTTGCAGGCACTGCAGTGGTGAGCGGGTCAACAGTGGCACAATTTATCACAATTTTTGCACCCGCACAATTTCCAGGAACATTTTAGGGACCCCTTGGCTGATATCAGTCCCTTATTCTCACGGAAGCTTCCCATACGTTCTTGGAGTAGTATGGGAATGGAGAGTCCATTAAAAATCAAACCAAATTAGTTATGTTTAGCAAAACGCATCCACACAATTTGTTTGTTGGTTTGACTCATGCCCAACTAGAATTGGAACTCACCTTTTTTGCAGCCTGATACTCTGAGTGCCGCGCGCGAAACTCAGCAAGGCAACGAAAGCACAATTAATCAGCGAAAGCAGGAAATGATCTGAGGACAGAGAAGGGAATATCAATGGACCGACAGGACACACCAGGACCTCTACCAGAGGGAGACCCACCTGAATAGCCAATTTGAGCAGAAGAATGAACACTCAGGAAAGTGACTTTGTGAATAGAGACGGGTTTGAACAACCCAACAAAACCACTCATCCTCCCAAAATAGAGGTCGCGGAGATTCATGCAATGATGATATGAAGTGAATTTTCCTTTGCAGAAACGGCGAAAACGGGTCTTGAATTGATTCAAAAAATGTTGAAGTTTCTTGCCGTCAACCCACTCGGGTAAATCAGGATAACAACCCGCAAAGTCAAAAAACACCAAGACCCATGGAACTTCGGGCCCTTGCTGATTGACCAGAAACTCTACACAGACATCCTGGGTGTACCTAGACAAAGCCTGGAAGTACTCACCAGAATAATTCTGCAACCTAGACCTAGCATTCCGCTGGTCCAGCTGAGGAAAGACATGGGGTTGAACAATGACAGAGGTGAAAGAATCCCGAAAAGTTTGATAAACGTCCCAGAGTCTGTCGAAGTCATTCGGGCGAACGGTCCCGTTTTCACACTTGGTCAAGAATTCACTGTTACACTGCTCAGGCAAAAGGTGTGAAGGGGTTGGATCACTCGGAGGTTGGTCTGACGGGCACAAAAATTGGCACGCACATCGTTCGCCCAGCGTGGCAATGATATGGCATTGCCATGACACAGCCACTGTGATCAACTTACGGTAAGGTTCGAGCTTGGCTCTAAACGCATCTCTAGCTACAGCCCTAGCGGCTGCATCCACCATGCTATTTCCATACGTAAGATATGGATCCTGACTAGACTTTGCCGTACAATGGGCCTTTACTTTTATGATATGCACCCTACCAGGACGAGATTTCGCAACGGAGCAAACCAAATTCCAGCAATCCCAGTTGTCCAACTTGTGAATCCATTCGCGAGAAAAATCAGCATCTTGAAGCCTTTTGAAAATTCGAACAACCGTCAAACAATCACTAGCAATGGTGATAGGACCACTGGAATGTGACAACGCCAATGCTGCTGCAAAAATTTCCGACCTCTGGCTCGTGCAATCTTGCGTGGGGAGGAGGCACGCAAAATTGCACTCCGTGGAAAGAAAATATGCTGACGCAGCCGTGGCAACCTGGTGCCAATTGCTTTTGTAACAAGACCCATCAATAAAAACAATCTCAGTCGGGAAAAAAGGCCCACCCGGTCGCTCGGGGCACGTGAGACAACATGATTCGAACTGAAAAGGGGGAGAAAACACAACCCCTGTCAACATAGTGACGTCATGACCAGGCTCGACTGGCGCAGGCCTCGTTCTGGAATAAGCCGGGCAATCACAAAACAAATGCCTCACAGTCTCCTTTTCCCCACACGAGATGCACAAATTATCCGGGGCCAAGCCAGCAGCATGAAGCCGAGAGGAAGTGAAAACACGGCCCGTCTGTGCCATCCGCAGCAGGTTCTTACTGTAGGCCCAACTTCGGGGGATTTTGTCAACATGAGGCTTGAGGAAATCAAACTCTTCATCGCTCCTCATCTTTTGATCAAACAAGAACCTCGTGAGTGAAATGTCTAGCAAGTGGCCTTCAGGAATCCTGCATGTTTCTTGGCGCACCGGCTGCTGCTTGAAAAGATAAGTTCTAACGGAAGAAGCGACAATACCAGAAAAATATTGGTCGCTCCATGCGCTGAAGGGGAATGACCCATGAGGTGTGGATACTGTGAAATCATCAGGTGATATAACTGCCCAATTCAACTCAGACAATATATACGACAGCACATTTGAAGAACCATGACAGGCTCCTGATTTCGGCGTGGGATCTCTGAGAACAGCTCCTAACGCCCTTTTTGCAATATTTGGGTGGAATTTGACGAGTTTGCGAGCATGGTTCAAGACATGACATGCCCACTTTGCAAACGGATCCAGAAATACATCCTCCAATGTAGCCATGACAGCAAAAGGTGACCGCATGTTGTGAGATGAGGGGTCAAAAATATCACACACTTGCGTACGCAATTTTTGAAGATCTTTCTTGGGGATGCCCTGTGTTTCACTACCGAACACCCATTTGGAGTGGGCATGTGCATGAATGTACACAGACTTCTGGGGAGGGGACAGTGGCAACTGTCGAATCTTTTTAAGACAGTCGCTCGCCTTTGCTACACGGTTTGATTGCATTGTAGCGTTACGGCACTTATTCATCTGTTGAACACGTCCTAGTGATTTAACCTGAGAAGAAACCTGAACTGGGAGTTGGATTTTCTGCTTCAACAGCTTTCCTTTGAGGACCCTTCTAGCCAGGATTTCAGTTTTCTGGGGGTTGAGTTGTTGACCAATGTCTTTATCAAATTGCCGCACAAATTCAAACGCTCCAGCAATTTCATCAACATAGTGGAAGGAACCCCATATTTTTGCATCATCAATAAAGGTCGCAATGGAGACATGATGAAACTGGTTGGTCATGGCCCTGGTCATAATGGAATAGAACGCATTTACCATTAAAATTGACATAGAACAACCTTGAATGGCACTGTTTTTGGAAAACACCTTCCGCCCATAAAATCGCCCAATCTTGAATATCTTGATTTGGCCCCGATAAAAACCAGTCAAAGCCCTCGCTACGTTAAGGGGAAGCCCAATGTCACAAGCTATCTGAACAGCAAAATCAGGATCTAAAAATATGGCGATGGGATCAGGATTCTGGTCATGTTCCTGAAATTCAAGGGACAAGTCGATCTCATGGGAATCAGCACTCCGCCCGGGTATCCCTCCTAGAAGGCATGATGGGGCGATTGAATTCATCCATGTCGATAAATGTCTAAATCTGAGGGAAGACCACAAAGAATAGACAACACTGCTGACACCAATGGCGCGAATCTGATTCGGGTTCAAAACAGGTCCGTCCTTTTTAGGCAAACATGTCACAGTGATACACTTTACAATGTTCGGCCATTCACCTACAGCTTCAACTAGTTTGCATACAAGGACAAAGAGCTGCCAAGCTGACACAGGAAGTTGCTGCAGTTCCCGATATGACCACATGTCAAGACCGGAAGCCTTGGTAGGGGACTTGCTTTGACACAAATCCCAAAAATCTTGCTCATTCAAACTGGGAACACTAGCCTCGCAGAACGTTTGAGAAATTGAATCCCGATACTTCTCGCGAAAATATTCAATCTGGGAAGGGGTATCCCATTCCATGTGTTGATTGTATACACTTTCCATATGGTCTGAAACAGATTCCAGCATTTCAGATACCGATCCGGACAAGGAACCGTCACTTCGCTGCATCAGTCGCGGCACTGTAGCGAAAGAACCTTTCAACCACCTGTGTACCAACTTTTTGTCGGCTGCGTTTGAAATACGCAGCTTCTTTCGCCAGGCCCTCAGCCCTGAAGCTTTGACTTTCTGGTCGTACTTCTGATCCCAATCTTGGAAGGTTTGGAAATCACTTGAAAAATTCTTTCGTTCTGACAAGAAACCCTCAGGGAAAGGAAAGCAAACCGCCTGGAGTTCACGCTCCAACTTATGAAGGGTTTGATTATAAGAATTTCGCCAAGCAAAGGAAATATTGGACTCAAAAACAGAAGCCTTTCTGATCATTTCCCGGAACAGAGCAGAGATGCGAGCAATTCGCTTTGTTCGAAGCGCGACTTCTTTGGGCTTATTTACAACAGGGGTGACCTGAAACCTGGGGAAAAAACCTTTCTGAACACCAGCGCTTCCGGAAATAGCATCTAACATCGATGATACAGCCTGGCATGCCAAGCTCCAAGTAAGCTCCACATCTAAGGATTCGGCACTTTCTGCCACTTTCGGGGCAAACTCACGGAGTATAGGTTCACATATGGAATCCCTTTGGGCCCATTGGTCAAGGCAGCTAGGTTTTGGTGGGAAAATACGTCTTGAACTGGAAGGAATTGTAAAAGCTTTGTCGACAGTGCTAGGAATCACCACATGAAGCCCAACCGGGCAATGATCAGGAAGGCCGGATTTTTGTTGAATCCAACTTTTCTTGAAGAAAGTGCAGCCATCACTATTGGCAAGAACATAATCAATACGGGACATACACCGCCGCCTCCCTTTTCCCCTCTGAAACGTGAATGGAGGTGGAAGGTTGGCAGCAGCATACTCATCTGCAATGACATCAACCCACTCTCCGGTACGAATCGCCTCTGAAATAGCTTGGTTGGCTGAGGGGCTAGAGTTAAAATCACCACAAATAAAAGTGGGACCATCACCGAGACTAGCCGCAAACAGAAATACCTGAGTCATAATCTCAGACCTCTTTGAAACATGGCGTTGACCGGAGGGTAGGTATACGTTGATGATTCGACAAGTGAAAGAACCAGCTGTACAAGTACATGCCTGCGCAGCTTTTTCCAAGCCAAAATCTTGAGGAATTAAGAGCGGTTGCAAAGCTACAGTATTGCGGGCCAGGATCGCGATCCCCCCATGTGTTTGACGTCGGCAAGGTGCATGAAGCCGGCTAACAGTCCTCTTAATGACCGGCTGAGGGCCAATCAAAACTGTAAAGCCTTGCGTTCGCAATTTGGATACAAGATTCTTGCTTTTGAGAGGGTGAAGTCGTGTCTCTTGGAGACACATGAAATCGGGAGTGGTTTCGTCAGCACATATTGCAACAACACTTTTCACATTCTTACCCAAAGAAGTAACATTAGCAGAACCAAAGCAAAGAGGGCCTTCACCGGGATAACCTTTGCACGGAGAGAAAAGAGACCAAAGGACCACAGAGGACGACACACAATGGACATAATTCAAATCAAAGAAACAAATGCAACATTTCCTGCTCTCGCTGAGAGACCATACGCTTAGTGAAGCGTTTCGCGATCTCTGCAATGAAATGTGATTAATTTGACTTCCCGCCCCTGCATTTCCAGTGCACATAGCATCGTTGCACCAGAAGGCGTTGAAAGTGCTGGGTGAAAAAGAATTATGAATTAACCCCGCCAGTCCTAATCTAACGAGGCAGCATCTTAATTTGATCCGATTTGCCCGGAGAAGTCTGCGGACTTTTTTGGCACTAACAGAACTCCTCTTACCTCGGGGGACTTCCCTCTTAGAAAGGACAACCAAGGATGGCTTTTTCAGAAGATGCAAATGGATCACAGACGCTGCCCGGATGCAGTTCCTAGGCTTGACACACATCCAGCCAGCTAGGTTCAAACAACACATCAACCACAAAACATACCAAGCACCGCCGTGAAGCAGAAAAAACAAAATAACCACCGACAATCTTTTACACATGCTCAGCAACGCTGGAAATGCATCGAAAGCCGCCAGCGGACATGGCACATGCGCCTCAAATGCCGGTTTCGTACAAGAACCCATCACTTCTTCAAGCTCTTTCTTGCCGGTGATGCCTTCTGAGATGAAGAGGACTCTGCGCTCAAGGCCTGGATGGCTGCCATCAAGTCTGTGAATCCCCGATCTTAGCGATGGCCAAGGTCCACAAGGTTCTTTTCGAGCATCTCCTGGCTGGTACGGAGCCCTTTCACATCTGACTGAACTGTGCCAAGTTGGGCTTCGAGCTGCGTGACCCGTGTGGCCAGGCTGGTTGATGGAGCATTCTGGCTGACTTGTCCTGAAGATGAGGACACCGTGGAAGGTGTAGATATGGGCGGTGGAGCAACTCTCTCCCTCTTGGGCCATTCCTTGCTGGCAGGGGTCCGCTGAAATGACCGTGGCCGGGACGGAGTAGGAGCAATGACGGCACTTCCCTTCTGAGTTGGAGTCGGCTTCTCGGCCAAAGTCAAATGGAGCATGCCAATGCTGGTTGAATACTTCAATTTGGCAGGCGGGTCTGCCCCTGCCGCAAGAACCCTGGACAATTGTCGGAGGTTCGTGATGCGAACCGGGATGGCTATCCAACCGATGCTTTCCAAAGCTTCGGTCACCTCCCGGATAGCCACCCCAAGGGAAAACCCTCTACCACATAGAAATGCTTCATCTTGATGCCAATGTTCTGGACGGTGAACCTTTCATCATCCGGATAGAAGAACTTTCTTGCTGCAGCGATGGTCGGATCTGATGTCCGGAAGAATGTCTTGCCTTGAGACCGGAAAAATCCAAGAGCACCACTCAATTTGCACTCTTCGGCCAGGACAGCCAATGTCTTGTCAACATCAATCCGCAACACTTCAAGCCCACTTTCCGCAGGATCCGTCATTGAACGAACTGCGCGGATCTGGACACTTGAGAGGCCTGACATGCGATAAAGTTGATCACGGTGAGCGGCTGGAATCTGTAGACGCTGGCACCAATAGCCTTGCCGGGAGAAAGGCTTGTAGCGAACCGTCTGCTCGCACATGCCACATTTTTGGAGCAAAATACGGACGTATCCCTCAAAAGCCTCACTGCTGCTGAGGTCAGTCCAGTCTTTCGAAGTTGCATCAGACTGTCTCAACTCTACAAAAACCGGCATTCTGTTCACAGTTTGAACGCTGAGCAGATGGTCGGCTTTTGGCAATTCAACGAAGTCATCTTCTGAAGCACTCATGTTGACCAAAGTAACTGCTCTAAGTTCAGTGGTCTTTGCTACTTCATCTCGAACTCCGATATTTGTGCAAATGAGCCTTTCTGGCCCAAAACCCATTTTTGCCAGCCTCTCATTGTCAAAGCCCTTGATGACCAGGATAAGAGGACCGACTGTCCTCACATCCGAAACCTTCTCTGCAGATGCAATTGTAGCAAAAGAGATGCCACAAGAAGACTCCTCAACCATGGAAATTGGCCAATGCTCCATTCGGCATTCACCTTCCCAAGAAGGAAAGATCAAATCATCCAAGTCTGCAACTCGAAGGCCTTGACGGGCTGCCGTGCTTTCCCAGGTAGCAAACTTCCCACCGCCCCGCAAGCGAGGTAGCACAAGGAGGTGACCACAACCACCCGGGTACACATCCCGGATCAATTCATGAGGAGCAAGCTGACGGCTATGTGTGGCAAGTCTGACATCACCTTTGCAGTGAAGAATCTCTTTGACCTCCTCAATGGACCAGGACGCATCCGCACTGATCATCCGGGTACCTGGAATGCCTTTCACAAAGATTCTAGCCATGTAGGTTTGCGATTCCGGAGAATGGTCATTGAGGCAGGAATCCATGGCCCGCGACTGCACCGCAAACGCGGCAAAAGGCAAACTATGTACCCCGGGGGGAAGAAAGCTAATTGGAAAAGGTGGTTTCCAAAAGCTGAACATTGCAGGAGGATACCAGAACAAAAAGAAAAGCAATGTCACCATTGGTTGAACCCACCTGTTCGTAACAGCCCCCACGATCGTGAACGTTGGTGACGTGGGAGATCCGGGGATCACGCCCTGGTCTTGGACCAGAACGGCTAAATTGGAACTCACCTTGGACCCGCTTGCAAGCTGGCCTAGAGAAACTCGCATTTGGGATGGTTTTGGTAAGCGTTTTACCTTGTTTTAATAGTAACCATCTCGAATTGGGCTTGATGTTGATGTATTCCTAGATATTGTCCCATAGCACTGCAACTGCATTAAACCCCTCCCCATAAGTGATGCTGAGTAATGATTTTATTTGTATCATTGGGAATCGTCGCACAGGTGCATGTCATTGGCCAGGGCTGTTTGAGTTTTCTTTTTACCAGAGGAATGTTCAAGATTATATAATGTGAAGGATATTGAAGGTTGTTCGCCACACTTGGTACTGGATATGGGGAGGTTGTTCTAGCCCCAATAATTCGGCAAGGCTACGCAAGGCTACTCGGTTCATAGGATTTACCATGAGTTTTTCGCAGCTTTCCTATTTGTTTTGCTCCGTGACTTGGATGGCACATTTCCAGGAATACCCCATTATCATCCACTATCCCCATGTTCAATGATTTTCAATGAGAAAACACAGGGGTTTCCCGCAAAAAACATCAAAAAACACCTGGGTTTTCCCCAAACCCTTTACCTCATCAAGTTGCAGCGCTGGTGCTATGCGCCCCAGGGAATGGTGAATGAACTGACCGGCACGCAACAGCGACAGTTCCTTGCATCCCAGCCGCTTGCCGCAAGGTGTGGATTGGTGGTACACAAATTCTCTCAAGGTGTTTGACATGTTTGCAATATGTTTAATTAACTTAGTTGAAAATATGTAACTCTGTATAATCGTATATTATTTACACACAGACACTTTATATATATATACACTGTAAATTGTACATGTTATTTTTGTTGACCTGATTGTGTAGGACTTCACAACATGACCACGATGGTAAACGCAATGCATGCATTTGGCCCGACCACAGGCTGCTTTGTTTGTGAGCTAGCTTCTTTTGGAAGGAAGCAGCTTCGGATTTAGCCAGGACCGTCCTCTCTTTTCATACCTTAAGGTAAAGGAAGGTTCCCAATTTAAATTGGTTTGACGAGTTGTGTAGAGAGATGACCCCAATGGTTCAATCTGATGTGTTGGGCCCAATGGTTCCTGGGAAATCCATGGCTGAAAAATGGATCGATGGAATGCCATGGAAAAAATAGGATACTGTATCAATAGCTCTTAAATATTTAAAAGCCATCTTTATAAATCCCATCCATTTTTATAAATAGATGTTCATAGCTTTAGGGTGATGAACATCCACAAATCCCAGCTATGTCCGTGCCCCCTCCCAGGTCTTCATCTGGTTATTTGTCGGACTTCATCGAACGCAGGAAGGCGCTTTCGGCTTTCATGATGTCAAGAGTTGGACGTAACCACAACGATTGGGATTTCATGGGATATTTAATGGTGGTATCATGGAATATATATATATAATATATATATATATATATGAATCATTATGAATATATAACCAACTGTAATGAAACATATGATTATATAATATTAATTAATATTATATACTCATCACTACAGTAATAGGGATTTGTATGCAAACTCTGAGGATTCCCAACATGGGCTGGATTACCTTGCCGCATAATATTATATATATATACACATGATACATGATTTGATATTGTATGTATGACTTATATTTATATGTGAGATATATTTCATATATATATATATATCATACATACATACATATATATATATATATATCATACATATATATATGATATTTATTTATATATATATATGTCTGATATATATATATATATGATAGATAGATATATAGATAGATAGATAGATAGATAGGATAAGATAAGATAAGATAAGATAATTAAAAAATAAGATAAAATTGGATTAGATAAGATAAGAAACAATAAGATAAAATTGGATTAGATTAGATAGATAGATAGATATGATATGTTTGATATATATATATATATGTGTGTTTTTAAATGATATGTATATATATACACATTTATATTTATATGATACACGCACACGCACACACATCCCAACAGCGATGTGGCTTTGTCTCAGTACACAACCGATGAATTTTTTATGGTCGATCACCACGTTTGAACCGCTGACTATGTCGAAAAACGATCGTACCAAAGAGTGGATAAGGCAAACACATTTTTGGATAGGAAGACCATGAGAAAGTCCTTTGCTTTATTTATGGAAACCTTATCCGATAAGGGTTACACATGTAAAACCAGGGTTTTTCCCAGTTGTTTGCTATCCAAGAAAGGATTTGGGTGTGTCCCGACTCCTGGAAGGATATGGTCCATTGATTTCCACTCATTATATCATACTCTCCATGCCATGTCGCAATATTTGCCTACAAGTTACAACTCATAACTCAACGATTTCAAGTTACAAGTTGTTAGCATTTGTTAGCTATAATTTCTCTAGTCTTAGGGAACGTTAGGGAATATGGATTCCCAGAGGTAACTGGAGGGTTAGGGAACTTAGATATATACGCGATTATACGCCATAAACCTCATAAATCTGGGTGAATTGTAATGACCTCACTGCGACCTCACTGCGACCTCACTGCGATGATGGTTAGTAAGAAGAACTGTCGAACTTTTCAGGTTGGAGAAATAGTACGACTATTAATATAATTTACCCAGTTGATTGACTTCTCAAGACCTTCGGGGCTTACCGTCATTGTGGCTGGTTGAATAAATTATATAATGAGTCTTACCTCTGGGAATCTGCATTCTTCATTGAAACATATAAGTTCCCAGAGTTAAAATTCGTTGATAAATGATTCCAACCTTCACAACGCTTCCATCATGACATCACCATTGACCCAGGCAGCAGAAGGCAACCACAAGATGTCCAATGACAGGCGTCGATGAGCGTACGGGGATTTTGTTGTGGATTTCTGGTGGATTCCGCCGGCTTTGTTGGAGGGATTTCAGATGATTTCAGCAGCAGTGGGGCTATTAGATGTATCGATGGGGACTGGGCATATGGTCAGTGTCAGTATGACCCTTTCCTTTTAACCAAGAAACAAGATGGGATAGAAGCCAGCAGTTTTATGGGGATAAAGCTGGTCATACGTAGAAGGTGGGCCCCCCTAGTTGAGTTGGTTTATAACTATGTAGGTTAATTCTGTTTTATGTTAGATAAAACATAATATAACTATAGTTGGGGCGTATAAGTCAACTTATAATTCGTGGCCCCACCTTGTTTTATATATATTAAAGTTGACATGGCATATAGAACCAATATGAACCGATAGTATATAGGTGTGCCCGGATGTGGTTATTTGAATGGGATTATAATGGGACAATAACCGCTGGCAAATTGAAAAAAAACACAGATCAGGTGGATATATATATATATAATGGTCATATTGAAACGGAAATGTGACTTATTACCAAAATTGAGGTGATAGTTGGGAGGAGTTGACCTCAAAATCACTGCAATTCTGAGCTCCCTATTTTTGGACCCCATGCGCAGATGGGTCGGGCAATTGACAACATGGGAGTTAATGATGGGTGTCAGTGTATTTAAAAAAACAACTGTATAATCAAGGGTTGATAGCTAGGCTTAATTAGCAACCCAAGGGGGTTGATGGGGGTGCAATCGGTTTCATGTGGAACTTTGTATCAGAAATCTGGTTGGCGGTTTCATTTTGCTTCCCATTACCCCCAACTAGAATTGGGATATAGGTATAAATGGACGGACAGTTTCAAATATTGTTTTTTCTACTATTCATCAGGGTGGGATGTATGTCATGAGTTTTTTTTTGTGATACCTCTTGGAGCATGGTTTGATTGGGGGGATGCAGAACAGATAGTTGGGACATTCAAATCAGCACAAAAGGGGATAGAACCACCTTGGATAGCAGCAGCAATGCAAAGATGGGGATGCTAACATGCAAAAAGTAGGATGCCAACCATTTTGGGGATATATACAATTTCAATAGGGAAAAGCATATGATAAAACATATAAGACCAACGAGTACTGGGGTTGAGACCTAAGCATTGGCATAGGAAGCTGGAAAGGTGGTGGGTGACCAAGGCCAAGGCTGACAGCAATTATTTGGATCCCACGAATCGTAAGTGGTTAATAACCCCAGTTAGTCCCCCATGCGTGGATTATCCCATTTATAAATGAGCTACTTTTTGTTGAAGCTTCTGAGCAAACAGTTGGTGTTGCAGTCATACATTGTGGCAAGCATGGGAGAAGAAGTGGCCTGCTAAGGGCTTGATGTTTAAGCTTCATTTGGGCAGATAGAAAACCTACCAGTGTAATCAGACAATTCGCTCAATCGACAGCGGCCATGAGAAGGATACGCCATAAACGACCAGGAGAAATAGTTTGTATCCAGCTCGGGCAGTAGCCAGCCACTGTTTCATTTGCCAGGTATTTGTACTACTTCATCTACAGCAGGCCCCAGAGTTTTCTAGGTGAGGCTACGACCCACGCCACCGGCTTGTTGGAACGCGAGCAACTTGAGAGTCACTGGACGAGATGCGGTGATGGGTCAGATTGGTCTTCTAATGTCCTCTATGAATCAGTGCTATTGTAACCATGTATTTTTTAACATGTGTTCAAGCGCATTCAGCTCGTAGCTCTAAATATCTAGCCAATTTATGACTGTTTGGGGTCTAAATGTAGAGAAACATATGGGTGACTAGTTTCAGGGGTTCACAGTGCACACTATTGTAGTACACTCTTTGTCATTTGGGTGATTGAACGCCACGAAGATGTCAATGTTCGAGTGGGGGTGATCAGCATCTCAGATGGACAATCAAAACCCAGGAGGTATTCAAGGACCCAGATTCAGATGAACCATGTATTATGATATATAAATATAAATATATATATATATATATATATATATGTGGTGATATTTGTTTGGTCTACGGCCTACACTTACCACTGCAAGGAAATGCAACTACATCATGCCTGGATGATAACAAACTACCATCGACTTTATTGCACTTGTTGTCCCCTCACCTTTTTGCAGCATGGCTGGCATTACGTATATGAGGTGACTTGATGTCAAGCATCGTGTCGCACTCAGAGGTCAACGTGAGAACAGACCTGGATTCCTTTTTGACAGGCAAAGGAGGACATGGCAGCGATTACGCTGATTTGCCAATTGATTTTGAGGTCTAAGCAAAGTTCTCTGCAACTATCTACATGTACGAATGGTACAAATTCATCCTATTAATACTATGTTTTTCGTATATGTTTATATATGTATGTATGCATCCTGTATATATATATATATACATAATTACAGATAAATTGGCATGTGCATATATACGTACATGCAGGCAGGCAGACAGACAGACAGAATATACATATTGGTTCTATCCTCTATATACCTACACATTACATGCATGCACAGGCATTTGTATATGCCAATTATATCCAATTATTGATATGTTGGATTTGCTTAAGCTTGGCCGTTGCGAAGGTTCTTGAGAGGAAGAAGGCGTGGGAGCGCACTGAGTGACATTAAATGATGCTGAATCATGTGAAGTGACGGAGATGTAATAGTCAACAATCATGCACTCCTCCAAATTCCATGAAAATGTCCATCACATTATGACATTTCCATAAAACAGCGTCAAACCTCTATCAAATTCCCATTCCGGAATCACACTTCAGCAGCGCCCCAGGCGGGGTTTGACCGATACTGAACTCGCCACAGGAGAAGGTGATGCCACCAACTGGGCTCAAAGATCTCGTCGCCCAGGCCATTGTTTATAATGGGAGTCCCCATATGGCGATATGGTTGAATAATGGTTGATCATTGATGGGATATTATACAAACATATGGTTGATAATAACTATATCTATAGAAATAGTATCTCATTATATATATTTATATATATATATATAAATTCCATATATATATATATCTGGCCTAAGGTTAAGGAAGTCAAAAAGTGACAAGATGTTTTTTGGGAATATTTGTTGGGTTCCATCCACAACCGCCATTGACTCAATATGATTCCAATAATTGATGTTCATTATTACCCGAGTTCAACTGTTCAATGGAGTCGTGGTTGCCCTTGCGATAACCAACCTCAGAATCAATTCTGATGATATCATCATTTTAATTTGACAAAAAAATATATAGTGAAGGACACTCACTTAGAACGTCATTTGGAAAACGTTTTTTTTTTATTTTTATGTCTATTTCTATGTTTGGAACAGCCGTGAACCCTCACAGTTAGAACTAGGAAAATCGATCATTTAGAACATCCCATGATGATCTATTGACATAACTATATTTATATGTGCACAAAAGTTATCAATTAGCTGTGAAGACCCCCGCACTTAGAACATCCCATGATGATCTATTGACATAACTATATTCTATATTTATATGCACACAAAAGTTATCAATTAGCTGTGGAGACCCCCACACTTAGAACATCCCAAGACATTACAACACATATAAATATGTATATATATACAGATAAGGTCCTCCACCCACACAGAATATGGAATTGAAATTTTGGCTTCCCCGGGCATCCCAGGAATTGAACTTGAAAAACGATACTTAGAATATTTTAGAATACAGTTGACGTCAAAAAACCTATACTTAGAATACCGTTGGACCATATAAATTCTTTCGCTTGTCCAGACGAATTCGTCATTTTTCCATATAAAATTCTTTCACTTGTTCAGTCAAATTCAGCATTTTTCCATATAGTTTTTCATTTTTCTTTAAACATCCTTCACATGTTCCATACAAATTCTTCACTTTTGCAAATTTCTTTCATTTAAATTATTTCATGTTTCCAGACAGATAGATAGGTAAAAATTTCACAAGGTGTTTGGTGCCAACATCAAAAACTGGCAGGGTGCCCAAATTGACCGATTTCTTATTACTTTGTACATTAAAAAGTACTTTTTTTCGCCGCCGCATAGAGATGTACAAAGGCTTCGAGAGCAAAGGCCACATGGGCAGAGAAAAAAAACAACATGGAAATGGGGGGAATATTCTAGGTACATTTTCGGCAAATTTGCCTGTGCAATTGAAACATGCATATTCTATGTAAGCGGAGAAGCTTATATTTCAATAATGATCTATTGACGTATCTACATTCATATGAACACAAAGTTATCAATCAGCTGTGGAGACTCCCACACTTAGAACATCCCAGGACATTACAACACATATATATATAGATGTATGATGATGATCTATTGACAAAACTATATTTATATGAACACAAAGTTATCAACCAGCTGTGGAGACCCCCACACTTAGAACATCCCAAGACATTACAACAGATATATGTGTTTATAATGATCTATTGACATCACTGTTTTTTTTGAACAAAAAGTTATCTATTAGCTGTGGAGACCCTCACACTTAGAACATCCCAAGACATTTCACATATATCTATATATATATAAACTATAATCTATTTGCATAACTACATTTATACGATTACAAAGTGATCAATCAGCTGTGCAGACCCCCACGCTTAGAACATCCCAAGACATTGCAACATACATATGTATATATATATATATAAATTCTATTGACATACCTACATTTATACGATTACACAGTTATCAATCAGCTGTGGAGACCCCCCACACTTAGAACATCCCAAGACATTACAACACATATAAATATGTATATATATACAGATAAGGTCCTCCACCCACACAGAATATGGAATTGAAATTTTGGCTTCCCCGGGCATCCCAGGAATTGAACTTGGAAAACGATACTTAGAATATTTTAGAATACAGTTGACGTCAAAAAACCTATACTTAGAATACCGTTGGACCATATAAATTCTTTCGCTTGTCCAGACGAATTCGTCATTTTTCCATGGAAATTTTTCATTTTTTTTAATAAATCCTTCATGTTTCCACACAAATTCTTCACTTTTCCAATTTTTTGTCATATAAATTCTTTCACTTTTTCAACCAAATTTAGCATTTTTCCATATAGTTTTTCATTTTTCTTGAAAAATCCTTCACATGTTCCATACAAATTCTTCACTTTTGCAGATTTCTTCCATATAAATTCTTATGTTTCCAGACAACTAGATAGGAAAAAAATGAATCACAAAAGTTATTATGGCTATAATTTGGGGTGAAATCTGGATCAGCAGTAGCCTCTGCCATACCTCTGCCAGGAGTGCACAGAAATATTAAAAAATTAAAAAACCAGGAAAGCCTGACACGTGGTGATAAGGAAATCAGTGCACCTGGGATAGGGTCTGATATATCCTCTCCCCTGTGCGTTCGGTAACGCTCCGGAGTGCACCCAGCCTACCACCACCATTGTACGAACCATTGATTTTGGAGTGCATAGGCCCCATACCTAATTTTTTCCCTATTAGGTTAAGGAAGTGCAGGATAGGCTGGGTGCTCTCGGTAACGCTCCGGAGTGCACAGGGGAGAGGATATATCAGACCCTATCTCAGGTGCACTGATTTCCTTATCAACTTATCACCACCTGTCGGACTTTCCTGGTTTTTTAATTTTTTAATATTTCTGTGCACTCCTGGCAGAGGTATGGCAGAGGCTACTGCTGATCCAAATTCATTTCAAATGTTGATCATTGGCCGTGGCTGGGAACCATGTTCTTTTACGAGTGGCAATCATTGAATCCAATGGTACACATGAAAAACAAATCCTTATTATAATATATGATGTTTATTCCGAAGGATTTTATCCAAGGGGACCGGGGCTGAGCTGTTCGTTGCCAGCACCATATTTGTTATGCAGTTATCCTCAATGAATCACAAAAGCACTAAACTAAACATAATATTCCGCAAGTAATGCAATGGTGAAGAACTTTTTTACCCAACAGTGACTACATACAACATGAAAGTCTTAAGTAAGGCACAAGTAGTGCAGGATGTGCCTTTTTTCAAACATTCACATTCACATGTTCAACAATTGTGACAGCCATGATATCATAGATATTATTGAGATAGTATCACAAGCAGTCACAAGTCAGAGCAAAACCGGGGAAACTATGTTTCTATCAATCTATTTTTTCCATGGATAGATTGAACGGGCCAGAGGTAAAACCTCATCTGTTGAGCAGCTAATCTATATCCAACAGTGGCTACATCAACATGAAATTCTCAAGTGAGGCACATGTAGTCCAACAAATGCAACAGCCATGTTGCAAGCAAAACACCATAGAAAAACAATGCTCGTGAAACTGAGAAACAATTACACCACAAGTACTCCACAAGTAACACTTTCAAAGGTATAAATGCATAATTGTTTGAACAACTTAAGTTTTCATTTTATTGTGGTTAGTACTATTTGATATTTTCACAAGTGGAAGTTGTTGTTCAGCGCTGAGCTGAGCAGATATAAGTCAACAACATGTGAATTTTCATCTAGATATAAGATTTGAAACATAGCTAATCAGGAACTTAGCCATATTCAACGATTTTCTTTCAAAATCGTTGTTGCTGCGTTGTTTTTCTCCAAAAAAAAACCGTCTGACTGACTTGAAGAATATTGGTGTAGAATTTATATGGATATGTCTCAAAATGAGGTGTCCGTTTTTGGTTCCAAAATGGCCCCTTTAAGGGAAAAAACGGACACCTCATTTTGAGACATCCCCATATGGAGAAATTACTTGTGGGGTCAAAACTATTCAAAACTAAACAGTTACATTCACATGTGGAAATTACTTGTGAGGTTAAAACTAAACCATAACACCTACATGTGAAAATCACTTGTGATGTTAAAACCTAAGAATAACACCTACATGTGATTTTTACCTGTGATATTAAAACCCCACAATAACACTTGCAGTTGAAAATTACTTGTGAGGTTCAAACTAAACAATGACACTTACATGTGGAAATAAATTGTGAGGTTAAAAGCAAACAATGAGGCTTATATGTGAAAATTACTTGTGAGGTGGAAGCCAAGCGATGACTAGAAGTTAGCAAATGCATTGTACATGTGATGACTTGCCTTCACCTCTATCTTATCTTTGTAATCATCTATGGCGGTAAAAACAAAAGTGACTTAATTCGATTTCGTCTCACAAGTATCCTACGGTCTCGAATAGTTTTGGAATCAAAATAATACCCTATAGATTTAATACTTACCTTTGCACTAGCTTCAAGTCTTACAATTTGTTTTGAAATGACAACCGAAGGACCCACAATCTTTACATTTCAAGCTAAAACTCAAAGTTTTAAAAACATCTGCTTGATTCCCACAAGTTTACTAAGAGTCTCGCAAGCACCTGAAAAACATCACTGGTATCCTCACATGTCACAATATGTCCCAATTAGTTTTTGAAAGTTCACAATTATCTTACAGTCTCACAAGTAAAATTTTAGCTCCCAGCTATCAAAATTTTAACACTTTTGTTTGAAAAAACAAGCAAGCCAAAAATTTACTTGCTTAGTAAATTTTATTTACTTGGCTAGTAAATTTATTTACTTTGCTAGTAAATTTTAGTAGGCTAGTAAATTGATAATTTTACTTTACTAGGTCCTAGTAAATTTTACTAGTAAATTTGAAAATTTAAGTAAATTAACGGGCTACTAAAAACACTACAGTAGATTTCGAGACTCAGGGTATAGACCGCTCTGTCTGAATGTTTAGTTTATTTTGTCAAATTAAAATGATGATATCATCAGAATTGATTCTGAGGTTGGTTACCGCAAGGGCAACCACGACTCCATTGAACAGTTGAACTCGGGTAATAATGAACATCAATTATTGGAATCATATTGAGTCAATGGCGGTTGTGGATGGAACCCAACAAATATTCCCAAAAAACATCTTGTCACTTTTTGACTTCCTTAACCTATGGCCAGATATCTATCTATATATATATATGTGTGTGTGGTTTCTATAGATATTCGGGATTATTATACATATATAATGGGATACTATTTCTATAGAACTGGATACTGGGATACTGGCAACTATTGGGATACTATTTCTATAGAACTATTATGACTGTACATGATGTATCATTAAACTATATATCATCAACGTGGGCAAGCCAGTGCCATAAACCTATACCATTTAGGGATGCTAAACTAACCACCCATCAAACTTGCGATGACTTGGGGGTGGTTTATTTTATTTTTGGCTTTCAGACATGATACCACGATATCGGGAATCGCGGCCCAAATCGGCCTAAATCTCTGGCCTGCGAGGCCCAGAACATTTTGAATATGAAGAAGACCTTGATGCTCCTAAGCTGGATTAGCTGCTTGATGAGCTGCTCAGTGGCGGAAAATTTCGCTGTGGGTATTATTTCAACAGAAATGGACTCATTCGAATCCATTGATCAAACCATCATTTTCTGGCGACTCTCACAGGACAATACGGGTCTCGGTGTTCAACTGGGAGATCAACGCAACTTGGTGTGTTGCCGGGGCCTAGGGCTTCCAGGTATGGGCATCCCAAATGTCTAATCGTCCAATGATCCAAAAACGTGTGATTTCAAGAAATCCAAACCATTCTGTGATAATTATGATAATCATTTGGTTCTGGACAAACTATTCAATATGAAATTCTGACATGTGTGACAATTCTAAACTAACAAACTGATCATGAAACGAATCATGAAACGAACCAGAATTATCATAATAGGGATGTAATTGGAGGATCATGGGGCTGCCCCCTCGCTCCACTTGACAAATGATACAAATCGATTTGGCCATGAGTTGGGGGTTGAGCCTCTATTTTCTGAAATTGGGATGGGCTATTCTCAGGGTCAACGTATGTTGGGGGGATGGTAAATCGTGTAAATCAAACGAACTCTCTGGCTTTTTGGGGCCTAGGGCCTTGAATTTTAACCAAGAGACTGAGATGAGAGAGGTCATGGGAGGTAGACTAGTTTCCAGGACCATGGACACAGGGTATCGCTGACCCCAAAATGCCCCATAGCTGCCATAGCATCTAAAGGACGTGGTTTGTATCAGGTGTGAACGGACTGGAACCCTCCTTGCGCCGCGCAGGTCAAACTTCTGGAGTATGGTTACAAAGATGATCAAGATGTGGTACTGAACAGGCAGCTTGAGCTGTGTGGCAGGGAATCTCAATATATTATATCTCAATCATGTAGCTAAATACTCATATAATCGGAGCGTACACATTTTCATGTTATGTTTGATGTGTGCGTCCACACGTTTGTTTCGGCATCTTGGATTGAGGAGTTGCCTGTGCCAAAACGACAGGATGGAAGACCGTCACTGGCGCAGTGAGAGTTTTTGGAGTGCTGCGAGCCGCAAGCAGTGGATGATATGTCAGCTCTCAAGGTCTTCCAGGAAACCAGGCTGCTTTCACCCCAAGAACCAGATTAATCATGGTTTTAATGGGATTTCAATGGTTAATATATGGTTAATATATGCTTCAACTGTGCTTTAACCGGTTTATCTTATTTTCTGTTTATCTTTTCTGATCCCATTTCCCGGGCGAAAAAGGGCCCCCCTTAAAACACCGCGTCCTTCTGTAAGGCATGTACCACGACCGCGCCCGGGATCACCGGCCCGAGCGGCCAGAGCACTTTGATGAGCTGCCGGATCAAGGCTGCTGATTGGGTGCCCGTTTCCAGGCCGTGCTGTGGAAAATCATGGAAAATGTTTCATGTAAAGTATCACGAGCGACTTTCATCCATTTTCCATAGCTCCATAGCTATCTTAGGTTACTGAGTTACTGGAGCAGCCAACAAGACATGGGGGGACTTAACTGGTTTGTCCAAGAGTTTTGGCGATGAGTACGTGCTGATGCTTTGAGCCCAATTCTTTGACAAGACCTCGGCTGTACAGCTATTAGGCTGGAGGTTTCAGATATGTGTCTTTTTACATTTTATATACCGCCATTCTCTACTGATCATGATGCATCGTGATTTGGTGGGCTGTCACCACCAACAAGTGATATATATATATATACATATATATATATATATGTTGAAAGCAGAGCCATGAGTGCATACTCCAGCAAGGTAACAGATGCATGACCGATAGGGAACCTACGCTCAAGCGGCAAAAGGTGCCCGTGCTCTTGCCCTGGGAGGGCGAATGGTTTTGAGATTGGTAGCGGAGCCAGGCCCTAATGGCCTGGCTCCCGCAGGTAGGATCCTGTAGGGTAGAGCCATGAGTGCGTCGACACCCGGTGAGTCGACTGGAAACCATAGGATGTTCAGTGGAAACGATGATGATGCCAAAGAGTACCGCAGGTGGAAGACTTGGGTTCTCAACAAGCTACTTACACTTGGAGAAAAAGTCTCTAAGGATGCCAGGGGTGCCTACGTATACACACTACTGCAAGGAAAGGCCTTGGAATGTGTCGAACATCTGGAGGTAGCTGATTACCAAAAAGATGATAGGGAAATGGTACTATTCAAATTGTTGGATCAGCGCTTTCCCCAGAAGGGCAATACCGATGAGATGGCTGAGACACTGAGTGCTGTTTTCTCGCTACGTGCTTCTGAGGGAGAAACACTGAAAACGTGGATCAGCCGAGCTTCTGAAATGTTCGACAGGTGCCAACGGAAATACAATGTAGCCTTTCCGGAAGAGGCTCGAGGCTGGATCATTTTACGACGATCCGGCCTCACAGAGGAACAACAGGCTGTAGTGTTGGCCAGGTCCCTGGGGGTTTTGAAACGTGAAGAAGTTAGCAAAGCTATGAGGTCATGCTATCCAGAGTACACTGTGCCGAAAAAGCGTGTTGGTGTCAGCCTTGTAGAAGATTCCGACTTGCCTGAACTGCTTGGCGATGAGCCGGAAATCATGGACCCCAGCATGGAGTTTGAAGATGTAGAACAGCTGCTGGCTCAACATGACACACATGACGATGATGCAGAACCGGAAGTGTATCCTGAAAATGAGGTAGCAGACATCATGGCCGTTTCATGGCGTGAGAAGAGAAAGGAGATCTCCAAGATGCAGCGATCACGAAAGTTTGGGGCCGCGGCTGACCTCAAACGACAGTTCAGAGTTGAGATTGAAGAAGCCAAGAAAAAGACAAGATGCCATCGTTGCGGCCGGATTGGCCACTGGAGCAGAGAATGCAAGATGCCTCGAACTGATCAGAGGGGAAACACTGCACCTTCTGGTGCATCAGGGTCTGGATCTAGTCGCAAAGACACAGGAATGGCCTATGTGGAAAACTTTGTGGCCTCCGTGATGTCACAGCCCACAGTGCTGTCACAGCTGCGACAGCGTGCGGCAGCAGCGAATAAAATGACTGATGGGGTATCTATGTCCAACCAGGTGAATGAAACTCTGTTGGTATCAAGTCCCGGATTTGGAGTTTTGGACTCTGGGTGTGGCAAATCAATTATGGGACAACAGACCTATCAATCTTTCTGTCAGTTGTGGCGCGATCGTAATGTTCCGGTGCCTGAGCCGTACCAAGAGGTGAACCATTTTCGTTTTGGGAATGGAGAAAAAGAAACATCAGAATGGTCCATCAAAGCTCCTGTCGTACTAGCTGGAAGGACAGGTGTTATCAAGGTGGCTTTGGTCAAAGGTGAAGCCCCCCTTTTGGTGTCTCGCAAAGCTCTTCAAGCACTGAATGCCAAGCTGGATTTTTCCAAGAGTGAACTTATTGTGTTTGATGAAGAAGCCGTGATTCCACTTCAAGTGAACCATGCTGGCCAGTATGTTATGTAGTTCCCTTGCTTGGGGAGACCGATGTCACCGCTGAGAGCTTCGATGAAGTCATGGTTAGTGTTCCTGTGCCTCCGCTGCCTGAGCCTGATGTACCAACCATGCATGATAATGGAGAAGTTGAACAGCCAAATGACTCCGATTCTGCCACTACTTCAGGACCGGAAGCCGGCTTGTCAGAGTGGGCAATTGAGTGTTCATACATTCCCAAAGCGTTCACTACGGGTAAGCAAGGACCCAAATGGAATAGTGTCAAACGCCGCATCATCACTGATATGGATACGGGTAAAGTGTTGTTTGATGAAATGATTGACCATAGGATTGGCAAGAATAGATATCACCAACCTTTACCTAAACATGTGCTGCACACCAGATCACAGTTTATGTTTACGCCTGAGGAGAATCACCCTGCCGTAGCTGAGTGTTTGAGTGTTCGTCATGTCCGACAGTTGCATGCACAGGTCAAGAAGACAATGTTACATGATGCTCGTAAGAAATCCTCTGAAGAACCACTAATGATTGCTGAAGTGTTTTCACCACCAAGGTTTGCTCCAGTTGTGCAATCACAGGGAATGCGAGCTGTGTCTTTTGACCTCAAAAATGGATATGATTTCACCAAATCCAGCGTGCGACAGCAAGTGAAGCAGCAGCTGCGTGAGGACCCACCAGAACTCCTAGTTCTCTGTCCGCCATGTACGCATGAGGGTGGTTGGTTCAACCTTAATCGATACACCATGTCGCCTGATGAGTTTCTTCGAAAGAAAGCACAGAGCCGACTTTTCATTCGATTTTGTTGTGAACTCTTTCAACAACAGGTTGAGCTAGGAGGGTTGGCCATGTTTGAACACCCACTGGGTTCCAAACTGTGGTCCTATCCAGAGATGTTGCGTTTGCTGCGCCAGTTCCCGACCGTTAGATGTCACATGTGTCGTTTTGGACTTCGTTTGCCTGGCAGCCAGAATTTCATCCGTAAGGGAACACGCCTGTTGGTTAGTGACTCAAGCATGGAAGTGCTGGGGCGTGAATGTCCTGGAAAGCAGGGTGTCCATCACCAGTGTCATGACATCATTGAAGGCAGTCACCCTGTTGTGGGATCAGTCAGCCAGTTTGCTGGTCAATACACACCCGGTTTTGTTGAGGCAGTGTTGGACACCGTCCCAGCATATCGTGCACGTTCAGAGACTCTGGAGGTGATTGAAGTTCCACCCACCGACCAACAGGCTGAGAACGAAGTTTTTGCTGCCCGTGCCGATCTGCAAAGCACTGATGAAGAGGTGATCAAAAAGACCTTGTTCAAATTGCACCGAAACCTCGGACACCCAGCAAATCATGACTTGGTCCGAATTCTCAAGCACGGACAAGCAAGCGATGATGCAATTAGGTTGGCCAAAGAGCTGTCATGCGAGTTCTGCCAAGCGCGCATTCGGCCACATGTGCCGCTACCAGCGCAGACGAGCCGAGTGACTCAGTTCAATGAACAGGTTGGAATAGATGTCAAGTACCTTCCTGGCTGGCGACCTAATCAGAAGATCAAGTCTCTCAACATGGTGGATCAGTCAAGCTGTTTTCAACAGGTAGTTCCTTTCTATGAGACCGAAACATCAGCACTGTTGCGCAAGCTGTATGCCACACACTGGGTTGCTTGGGCAGGTCCTCCAAAGGAACTGATACTTGATCCAGCTCAAACCAACCTTGGAGAGAATCTTCAAGGACCATTAGAGTTTGAAGGAACCACCGTGCGACAGATCGCAGCAGAGGCACATTGGCAACTTGGCCGAACTGAAAACCACGGTGGTTGGTTTGCCCGAGTTCTCTCCAAAGTAATTGATGAACATGCACCATCTAATCGTGAAGAGTGGGAAGAATGTGTACGTCATGCTCATGTTAAGAACACCATGATACAAAGCTATGGATATACCCCACATCAACATGTGTTTGGAGTTAACCCTAGCATTCCTGGTGATCTTCTGAGTGAACCTTTGCACATAGTTCCAGCGACAGCCGGCCTTACCGAAGATGCTGTAGCAAAAGCACAAGCCATTCGTCAATCAGCCCGTTCTGCTGTGATCCAGTTGCAAGATGATAAGTCACTGCGACGTGCCCTAGCAGCTAGACCTCGAATGAATCAGGTGTTTCAGCCTGGCAATCTGGTAGCGTACAGGCGTCGACAGAAGTTGCAGCAAGGCGAGGTACAACAAGGTGGACGTTGGCATGGCACTGCTGTTGTGATAGGATACGTTGGTAGGAACCTCATCCTAGCACACAGAAAGCAGATTTTCCGATGTGCACCTGAACAAGTACGACCAGCCACCACTGAAGAAAGGACTCTAATTGAGTCCCCACAAATGGAACTTTTGGGGATAAAGGATCTAATGGAAGGGGGTACTTTTAGAAGTCACCAGTTCATAGATTTAGTTCCCGGACACTATCCCACAGTTGAACCTGCAACTGCCAGTCATACACCAGATGCTTCCGGTGACAGCCCAATGCAAGAGACAGGAGAGCCAGCTCAATCTGAAGTGATTGATAAGAGTCCCGCTGATAGCATTCCGCCTCCTCAAGATGCTGTTACTGATGCGCCACAAAACATGAATGTCTCTCCTGCCATTGAAGAAGGTGGTCACACATCCGGGAGCCAGTATGGTCCAATTCGTCGTCGTGTCACTGGAAAATCTGGAGATGCAACCATGTACAGACCGCCAGCCATGCGACAAGAAGATTTCGCTGAGATCAAGCGAGAGGTTGTTCCACATCTTCTTCAGGAAAACTTCGAATCACCACACACTGGACAGAAGCGCAGCCATGTTGATGAAAGTAATGAAGAAGTTGTTGAACCGGCAGCCAGTAGACCTCGCACTAGTTCTCCAGAGCCAACATCTACTGCCGAGTCTGCTGCAGAGCACCCAGTGTCTGCCGTTGCTCTTGATAGCCCCAACATGCATGAAGAACCAGTCCATGAAGTGTTGACCGTGACCCAAATAAATAGCTTGTTGAATGATTGGGATAAACATGGGGATATAGAGGTGTTAATAGCGGGGTACCTAGCAAAGAAGATGTCCAAAGAACTGCCACCCACTGGTAACCTCCCAGCTCTTCAGGAAGCGGTTGATGACTCAAAAAGAACAGAATGGGATACCCTGAAAGAGAAAAATGCCATTCGTTTTCACTTTGGCAAAGACGCACAGCGTATCCGAGAAAAGTATCCTGATCGCTTCATCGGTAGTAGACATGTGATCACCCGCAAGCCTCTTGAAGAAAACGGTCAGGTGAACCCTGAAGATCCTAACACCTTTCGTGTTAAATCACGCTGGTGCCTGCAGGGACATCTTGACCCAGACTTAGATCAGAAAATCGAGGATGGCTTGCTGCAATCCCCAACACTCAGTCAAATGGGTAGGAATCTCCTGATGCAAATAATTGCCAGTAATCGTTGGATTTTGCAACTTGGTGACATCAAGGGCGCCTTCCTCGAGTCTGGTCCAATTGCTGAAAAGTTTCGCCCTTTGTTTGCAAAGCAGCCTATGGGCGGTGTGCCTGGCCTTCCAAGTGACGCAGTGATTGAGGTGACCGGAAATGTCTATGGGCAGAACGATGCCCCAGTCATGTGGTATCGTACCTTTGATCAAGAAGTCATCTCATTAGGCTGGAGCCGATCCAAGTTCGACTCATGCCTTTACTACTTGCGTTCAAACACAGGCGAGCTCACCGGCATTATGGGTGTGCATGTGGACGACACAGCCATTGCAGGCTGTGGTACTCTTTTTGAAGAGTCTGTGGCAAAGCTGAAAGCAAGATTTCCCTATAGGAAATGGAGAGTGTCCTCTGGTGAATTTTGTGGTGCTTTCTATGAACAAGACAAAGACAGTTTTGCCATTTCCATGTCCATGCAAACGTTTGCCGATACTTTGAAATGTGCTCATATTCCAAAAGGAGTTCTCAATAGCCAGCCTCTCAACGAAAGCCAAATAAAGACTCTTCGAGCCATCAACGGAAGTCTGAATTGGCTTGCCTCCCAAAGCCGGCCTGACATTTCTTGTCAGACAAGCATGTCGCAGCAGGCTTTCCCAAATCCGTGCATCCGGAACCTGAGAGATGCAAACAATGCCGTCAGAAGAGCCAAGCAGCACAAGCAGTTGAAGATTGTGTTTCAAAGCATTCCCATTAAAGACTTGACGATAGTGTGTCACAGCGACGCAGCATGGGCAAATGTGGGGACACATACTCAAGCAGGATATATAATAGCCTTCACCGACAAATGTTTGCATGATGCCAAGGAAGCTCCTTGGGTTCCGGTGGTTTGGAAAAGCTACCGTCTTGCTAGAGCTGTCAGCTCAACATTGGCAGGTGAAAGCCAAGCCATGAGCGTGGCCAGCGGTACAGTAGAGTGGTTGTCCCTCATGATGAGTGAAGCAATTGATGGACCTTTCCAGCTGAGACAAGCCAGAACTATTTTGTCACGAAGACGTCCTCTCCTTGCCACTGATTGCAAGTCTCTGTATGATCATCTAGTAAGTCCCTCGTCACCCACAGCCATAGATGACAGACGCACTAGTATAGATGTGGTAATCATAAGAGAGTCACTAAAGGATCTACAGGGTATAATCAGATGGCTGCCAACTGATAGAATGATTGCCGATGGGTTGACAAAAGATAAGCTGGATCCTGCAGATTTGCTTCGCAGTTGCGTCCGTAGTGGAGTATATCAAATTGCTCCCGAAACCACCGTACTTGCACGCCAAGCAGCCGAGCGAGAGTTGCGAAAAGAGCGCCAGAAGAACAACCAGGGTTCTCAAAAAGTTGAAAGAAGCCAAAAGTGAGTTTTGTTTGTATAGCAGTTTTTGCCTGTGAAATACTTGGCCCACCATGGGCATGATTTCGAGAAATCAATTGTGGATAGATGCCAAATTGTTTCCTTGACGGCAAAGATCACTGTGCTTCCAGTTTTCATGTCACACTTTGCATGACGTCATGTATAGTTTAGAACAGATTCAGGTGAGAACATCTGATCACAAAGTTTTTCCTGCATGTTTGTTTTGCGACAGTTGCTGCCTAATCCATAATATTTCCTGAGAGCGTCAGCATCTTAAGAAGTTTCTGCGATCCAATAGCCACCTTTTTCTCAACCTTACGACTTTGAATATCAGAGTTGTTTTGGTGCGGTAGTGTTATCATCATCTGTGCCAGATGTCGTGGTCAAAGCAAGACACTGAAGCCTTTCGTCAGATTGTGTCCAAGGCCAAGGAATGTGGAGTTCTACAGGATCTGTTTGAGGGTCAGCACATGTTTCCAACAGATTCACCTACCAGCCAATTTTCTTTGGTTAGCAGTGCTGGCGAGTCTATGACAGATGCAGCCAAAAGGCGTCCTTCTGTGGAAATTGATGATCTTCAGCGACCCCATGTTCCCAAGGGTTCGGATAGCATGTGTACTGGATATGGCAATTGCAAAAGCAAGACCAGTGTGAAGTTTTCATCCACCCACGACTGTCTTGACAGTGATGACAAGATCAAACTGCCTTCAGGAGTGAGCAATTTTGAGACTTGGAGTAAAACCAGAATTGACTTTGGGAAATACGAGGGTCAGAAAATGAGTTACTTGCACCTGGCTCGAAGCCAGTCTCCGGAGTGCATCAAGTACAAGAATTGGTGTATCCAGCGCAATCGATCAGCAGATGGCCTTCTCAAAGACCTTTCCAATTTTCTGGTGGAATATCAGCGAATTGAGAATCAGAAGTATGGTTCAGCCAAGTCAGATGGACCGTTCATTCCTGGCACCGATCGCCTTCGAGTTTTGCTGGACTGATGAAAGTCATTTTTACAGTTTTGCACATATCTGCTGAATACCTGGCTGTCCTTTTGATTTCCATTGGCGAAGTTTCCTGGAAAATACAAAACTTTAAAGATTATAACCAGTGTTGAAAGCAGAGCCATGAGTGCATACTCCAGCAAGGTAACAGATGCATGACCGATAGGGAACCTACGCTCAAGCGGCAAAAGGTGCCCGTGCTCTTGCCCTGGGAGGGCGAATGGTTTTGAGATATATATACATATGTATATATATATATATATACATATATATATATATATATATTGAAGATGCGACAGACACGGGGCGGTCGCCCCGTCCTAGATCATCTGCATCTTTGACCATGACATGATTCCTTGGAGGATCATCCCGCTTAGTAGCTGTTTGAGAACCCTGGTTAATAATGGTTGATACATGTTAGCTAGTGCCTAGTGCTGGTTCATCTATGTTTATCCCATGTATAACTGGGTGAACTAATTCCACTTACCTGTTCCACCCCCCAATGACCTCATCCCTTGGGCTGCTGGGCCCCAGGTCTACAGGCCCATAACACCTTGTTGGGGTTGAGCAGCTGCGTGCAACAACAACTCTGGTCGGCACATCATGGATGCCCTGGAGCTCAACAGAAGGCTGGAAGAAACATGAACAACACATACAAAAAACCATGCCAGAACTACTATATGCAGTTGGTTGCTGTACCTATTTCTCGTTTCCAGGGTGACCTGACAGCGATGGAGAGAGAGAGAGAGAAAGAGAGAGAGAGAGAGAGAGCGCTGGAAATTGATAGTGGATGCCACACCACAAACAAATAAATCATACCAAGCTAATATATTATATTTATTAAATCGTCAATTTTATGGATTTATGACCGTGTGTCGATAGTTACAGGATGTTACAGGCATTCTAAAGATGATATGTGTGTTGGATGTTTGTTTGACCTCTAGGCTGTCCTCAGCATGTTTGCTTGGGATTCATTGCGTAAGTCGTTTGGAGAGTTTTGGATGTGAATTCATCATGTTCTTATTGATGTGAATGTTTGGGTAGTTTTGGATCTTGTGGATTATTTTCCCAAACAGCTATGTTCTCATAGTTGTTTGAGAAACAGATCTGTAACAAAGCGGAGATGTGTTTTCTGACGACAAAGCTATGGCCAAATGGATCCCGAAGGGGCTGATTTCAAAAGATGTAGCTCTTCAATCCAAATGTTCTCCTGGAATCGGAAGTAATGTTGCGTCCTGATTAGTGTGTGGCCCCCCCCCCCCAAAACTATTTCTGGACTCTCTTTAAAGTAGAAAGTCAAAAATTTTCTTCCCAAAAGAAAAACATATCCTCAATTAAGTAAGGATTTCAATTGGCTACACTTGAAATCTAATTACTATTGTTTTTTTTTGCCTTGTAGTACTTGTAGTACTTGTAGTTGTGGTAGTTTGTAGTACTTGTAGTACTTGTAGTACTTGTAGTACTTGTAGTACTTGTAGTACTTGTAGTACTTGTAGTACTTGTAGTACTTGTAGTACTTGTAGTACTTGTAGTACTTGTAGTACATGTAGTACTTGTAGTACTTGTAGTACTTGTAGTACTTGTAGTACTTGTAGTACTTGTAGTACTTGTAGTACTTGTAGTACTTGTAGTACTTGTAGTACTTGTAGTACTTGTAGTACTTGTAGTACTTGTAGTACTTGTAGTACTTGTAGTACTTGTAGTACTTGTAGTACTTGTAGTACTTGTAGTACTTGTAGTACTTGTAGTACTTGTAGTACTTGTAGTACTTGTAGGGGCTGCTCTGGCACAGCTTGCTGCAATAGTGAACCCAGCAAACAAACCTACTAAAGTGAAATGGGGCCTCTACTGGTCCAGGGCCTTGGAAAATTGTGGGAAAGCTGTTCTTTAATAAGGGTTGAATAAGGGAGTGGTTCTTTTGGGAAAGGCTTGCAGTTTGAATTTGGCAATTTGGGAAATGGCTTGCTTCCCTTCTTCAGGGGCTGCTCTGGCACAGCTTGCTGCAATAGTGAACCCAGCAAACAAACCTACTAAAGTGAAATGGGGCCTCTACTGGTCCAGGGCCTTGGAAAATTGTGGGAAAGCTGTTCTTTAATAAGGGTTTAATAAGGGATTGGTTCTTTTGGGAAAGGCTTGCAGTTTGAATTTGGCAATTTTGGAAATGGCTTGCTTCCCTTCTTCAGGGGCTGCTCTGGCACAGCTTGCTGCAATAGTGAACCCAGCAAACAAACCTACTCAGATAGAGATGCATTTACAGGCTCAGATAGGGAGATGAGCAAAAAATTGACTGAGCTACAGCGTTTTTGAGAAAAATGCCTCTCAGCAATTACAGTTTTTTTTGCAAAAAAAAGGGTTCTCCCAATTTTGTTTTGCCACAAAAGCGAACCCTCCAAACAATACATGAGTTTCAGAATAATTTGGAAAAAATTGCCACAATAGCGACCCTAGGTACTAATCAGGACTCAACATTATCGAAAGCCGATCAAACAACCAAGAAAAATGCATTAGTTCATAGTGTAGTTCAGTTTTGAGACAGGTTGAAACATATTCACCCCCTCCAGGTATCCAGATCATCACTTTCAATCTATTTGATGTTGTCTCATCCCTCCAAACCTGCCAACCTGAGGACCTGCTGAAAAAGGCCATGACCAAGCTACCAGTGGAGATGACAAGATTGACAAGGCTTCGATGACTGTGGCTCCACACTCTTCATACACGTATTTATCCACCTCCCCCTCCAAAAATATATATACGACCATTATATATATATAAGATAATTACATACAATTACCACACCATAGATTTACTATGGCTTGCATTCGTTTTCTATACTAGACTAGACTCGACTATACTACACTATACTATGCTACAATCACTTTTTTGTGTTCATCCGATTTTTGGTACTCCCCTGTTGGGCTGCCGTTGCCCAGGGAGCACCAGACCCTTTCGGAGCACCCCACGCACCCCACGCGTTGGCTTCCGCCGCGCCCCAGCAGTGCCACACTGCAGCGCAGCGCGAGCGCGCAGCAGATGCTGAAGCCGGGAATGCCACGGGGGGAATCCTGGGGGAACTGGGGAAAAATCGGGGTAGAATGCCGGTATATCCAAGAAATTGAACATGCTGGAACCTTTTTTTGCATTTGTTCCAGCCAAAATGGGTTGATATCATCAACAATCATAGGAGATGATGTGGATGCTGGGTGGGTTCTGATTTTTGTTGCTTCGATCTGGTTTCAATTCCCATGCTTGGACAAAGCATTGACAAAACCATATACGCCATGACAAAGCCATGGCCAAAAGTTGGGTTACATAACTTACATAAGCATATGGAGGTTTCCTGAAATGGGGGTTTTCCATGATATAAACCAACCAGCTATTGGAGAAACCCCATGAACAATGGAAATCGCCATATTGAGTGGTAGTCTACCATTTTTTGAAGGGGTTGCTGGGCCGCAGGGAACTGGTGCGACCCGCAAGTGCTGGGGCCCTTGGATTGCGCAGGACAGTGAGGGGCCAGCTGTGTGGAATGGACAGTTTCTTTCCCCTAGTACTAAACAGCATTTACCCTCTAGACTAATATGTATAGCTATAGAACATCATCATTTTTATAGCTGAAATCGGGCATGTCGTTCCGTATTCCTTATTATATACTGGGACTCAAGGAGCTACCAAAAGTTACCCAACCACATGAATCCGCATGATAGATTACTTTGTTCCTACCTTTCATTTCTTTCAATCATAGTCCTCCATTCCTCCCTATTTATTAAGTTATTACGGTGCCTGGCACAGGACTTGGGGCTCTCAATCCCTGCCAACTCTAGACCGCCCAAAGCCCATCGCTGCGGATCGGAAAGATATGCTGCGCTCAATCAACAGCAGGTGCCGTGGGGAACACGGGAGCTCAGTGCGCCAAAGTCAAGTCGAGGACCAGTGAAACTGATACGATGGTGATATGGTTCAAGGCATTGAGGTAGCAATCGGGCCCGTATTGTGGAATGTGAACACAACAATGTAAGCTGATATACTGATATACGCGGACGATACATTTGATTGGTGGTTTCAAACTTCAAATGCAATATGTTTTGGAGATGATCGCATTGGACATGCCTTCGTCGGAGCAAGAACCCTTTCGCCAGGCCAACCAGTGCAGGATCCAGCGGCGCTCTGCGCACGCAACGTACGCAGAGGCCACAGTGGTTCAAAAACTGCCACGAGTCGAAAGATGCCGGAAAAAAAAAGTTGGACCTGTCCAATGCCAATATTTATACGGTACATATTAGAATACTTATATAACTTATAACTTATAACTTATTAATTACATTCCTATCTTTTGCCCACTGCAGTATCACAGCATCTCTAATTCCTATCTACTGCCATTGAAGCGCACTTTTGTTGGAGATGGCCATGGCATGTCCATCGACCAAAACGGTGATTTGCTGGTTAGGGTTGGTGATTTGGAATGGCAGCAATCCCCTGTTCAGGGATATTTATCTTGATTTACCACGTACCCTTTGGTAAACTAACAGAACATAGCTATTGAAAATGGCCATTTATAGTGGATTTACCCATTAGAAATGGTGATTTTCCATAGTTACGTTAGTTTACCAGTGGGTATTGTATATAATTGCCATAAAGATGCAAGAAGCACCGACTTAGAAACACAACAAATTCGAACAGAAGCCTACAAGACCCCGAAAAGAAGAGTGCATGGCACTATCTGGGCCCGTGTTTGTTTCAGTGTTGTTTGTCCTTTTTCATAGTTTTTTTATTGGTGTTATTTTGAATGTAATGTGTTCTTCATATAAGATATAAGTAATGGTACTATTCATCATTTGAGACACACTAGGGTGTCAATTTTCAAATTCTTACAAGTCCTTAGCAACAATAATACATTACAATTTGTACAAGGAAGTCGTGTAAAACATACACCAAGCTGGAATCTATCCACCCTGGACCAATGCTAGACAAGAGCATTGTCAAAGGATTATAATAGGTATGTATCCAGCTGGTGATGATTGATGCTTTATCACCAAGCTTGATGGCTCACTACTTGGAGACATTGTTGTACTGCACACACCCACATATGCATATATAGAGGTGATGAGGTGCACAATGATTAAACATAAATATGATATGTTGCAAAGGTTATATCAAGGGTCAAGACCTCAAAGACTACTAGGCTTTTATCCCAAATTATTCACCATAAAAAGAAACTGCATGGTATTTTTTAGAAAACACATCCAAAAGATTTCAATTTAATATAAATACAATGTGAGCATTGATTAATCCGGTGAGTATTACATCATCATAGGGTGACAGTGACCATGGAAGCCCTAGCAGCAAGTCACTCTTCTCATGTAGGAACAATGCAAACCATTTTTTGTCCAATCCTTTTGTGCACATGAAAGATGTAAGATTGCCTATACACAACGATGGAACGACATAGCAAGTTCAATCTCACATGTATGCAGCAGTGATCACCTTCAACTCAAAAATATAACAACCATTCCAGCAAGGAAGCCATGGGATTAATCCTTATATAGTTTCCTACTCTTGGAGTCACCCTCATAAATTGAAATTCCCATTGCCTCATGCATCTTGATCCGGAAATTTAACAGTGCAAGCTTACAGTAAACTATGAAATCATGGCAAACGCAAGTACTACAAGCAAAGAGCGCACGTAGATGTCACACATTACCATACTTTGATGTACTTTTATAGTTACCCTTGCAGAATGGTGAGTTGCAAGGTTATTATTGATTTTCATTCCAGGAAAATAGCTTAAAGTCAATGTGGGAAGGAATATTGAACTGCACATGTCAAATGTACTAGCTAACATGTTGTTTAGCTTAAATGGACGTAGCTTATGGCTGTGCAAGCAAAAACCAAAAATATTTCTGAACAGATTTACCTACTTACAACCATGGCAAGAAGCAAATCTAAAGTAACACAGGTTTAGAGCAAAGCTCATGCTAAAACCTTTTTCCCAATTAAAAAACAACATGACCATTTATGTGTTTTGTAAGGATATTATCACATTAACATATTATAGCAAAGGTGGCCCTAGTAAATATATGCATATATATACATATGATATAACTATTTTCCTAAGCTTTGTTTGTAAATAATCAACAGGATCATTCTACATGGTCATGCAGCCACATGTTATCACATGTTATTTGTAACATTGAAAACATGTAGCAGTGTTGTGTTGTTGGCTATATTTCAAGTTATATTGACGATAGCCAATGTTTAGAGTTGCCATCTGACTAAACACACTAATCACCTTAGTAGGAGTACATAGCCATACCAATGATGAAGGCACATTATGATAAAGCAGTTTGCTCCTCACAAAAGACTATAGATGGTTACTCAAGATTACTTATGCAGGGCATATAGTGGTCCATATTTCATCATTTTCAATAATATGATATATTCTCTGCATAATAATAATATTCTCCATTTTTTTAGTTTTGTCACATTCTGGGATATCATACACTGACTAGAGACTGGCACAGCCTGTCCATATCCAGGAATTGAGGTGATGTACAGTGTCATACATTTTGTCAGTGAGTCAATCCTTATCATGCATCTTAAAAGATATTAAACACATAATGAAACAGTCGGACCCAAGATGATGGATTCTAGTCAGTACCTTGTTAAAGAAGATGAGTTTGCAGAAATGCTATTTTTTGTATTGACGGAGATCTTGCGGGATGTAAGTGAGTGTCACTCCTATACTCAAATTAGAATATCCTAATTTATGATTGCGCGTTGGCATTGTCAATTATCAGAGTGGCACTACATAGACGGTCCGGCAGAAGGACCGGACAGCCATATGTAGATGGAGGCACGTTGATAAACGCCCTTGGCGTTTTGTTGCATTTCGGCTAAATTTCCACTACATCATGTGTTCGGGGGTTGGGTTGGGGGGGTGGGGTGAAACATGGGGAGGGTGGGGTTGTGGGGGGATGGGGGGGTATAACGTTCTTGTCGTGTGCGTGCTGATATATATATATATATCTATGCATGTATGTATTTGTATAGATATATGTATTTGTTTTTCAACTCTAAGATGCTCTTGATGTTGCACTTTCAACATGTTCTTGGAACTTCAAAGGGGTTCTTGATGCTACGCTTTCAACATGTTCTCAGAACTTCTAAGACGCTCTTGATGCTACACTTTCAACATGTTCTTGGAACTTCTAAGACGCTCTTGGTGCTACGCTTGCAACATGTTCTTAGAACTTCTAAGCCGCTCTTGGTGCTTCGCTTGCAACATGTTCTTGGAACTCCTAAGCCGGTCTTGATGCTACGCTTTCAACATGTTCTTGGAACTTCTAAGACGCTCTTGGTGCTACGCTTGCAACATGTTCGTAGAACTTTCAAGCCGCTCTTGGTGCTTCGCTTGCAACATGTTTTTGGAACTCCTAAGCCGGTCTTGATGCTACGCTTTCAACATGTTCTTGGAACTTCTAAGACGCTCTTGCTGCTACGCTTGCAACATGTTCTTAGAACTTCTAAGCCGCTCTTGGTGCTTCGCTTGCAACATGTTCTTGGAACTCCTAAGCCGGTCTTGATGCTACGCTTTCAACATGTTCTTGGAGCTTCTAACACGCTTGTCATGCTACGTTGACATCACGTCTCTTCAGTCAGTCTCTTCACGTCAATAGACAGACCTGGAGGTGGCATTCCGGAAAAACTAATGTCGTATGTTGATGTATGTTGGGGTTTCGTGTGGCGAAACAATTTGGGCAACCATGCCAACTTGACGATCATGTGGCTTGGAACGAGCCGGGCGAGCAAATGAAAAACTACTTTTGAACGAAATGGAGGCTGGGAGAGCCAAGAACAAACAAACTTGCAAATACCAAACGAACATGTGTGTGCTAAAACCACAGCAAAACCCTACTGTCATTTTCACACAAAGCACATTTTTTTGTAAGGGTTGCAAAATTTGAACATGGAGAAATGCCTAAATCAACAAATAACCCAGGGGCAATTATCCGCGTGTGACCATGTAGATGCCTCTGGAGTACCGGGGCTGCTTTTCAAACTCGGCCAAAAAAAAACTCCAGACTCCTGGAAACCAGTTCCAAACTCAAGCCTCCATTTTACTCTCACCTCTTTCTTGATGGAGCTCAGGCGCTCGAATTTTGACATGAATAACCGGCACGTTCAACCAAATAGATTCTTGAATGTGGATTTCCTAAGACGGGCGTCTATGATTATATAAAATCACCACCCTTTCCGGGGGGGCTAAACAGAGGGGGCCTAACCAAAATATAAGAGATTGCAAATAGAATGCGCTTTGAAAAATAATGTCTGTTTTTTTTTTCAACGTCGACGTCCCCCTCCTAGAACGTAGGCCTAAAATGTCGCTTACATTTAACGTAGGTCCCCCGGTCCCCCCATCTTATTTGAATAATCGTTGTCCTTCCAGTTCATACTGAATATCCCTATGTTAAAATATGGGGCTGTGAAAAAAACTGGGGCCCCCATAACGTCGCTTTCTTTAAAAGATTTTAATAGAAATCCTAGCCGCACCGGGCCCAAGACTAGCAATGACAGGCCTTCCAGCGCTGGTTCTTGGGGCACAGCATCTCGCCCTCAAAGCGCTGCGAAGAGCGCAGCCAAGAGCAGCACGAAGAGCTGGAGGAGGGGGTGGATGCAATGAGGCCCTCCCATTCTGTGGGTACAAAAGGAGATAAACAATGGCCCATGTTTTCACATTGTGAAGAACCTATGTGGGCCGTCCCCTCACCCACTCGATAATGGAGGTGTTGACAGCTCAGACTAGTCCAACTATACCGACATCCATGTCATCAAATGGGTATCTCTGAAAAGAACGTATCCCATTCTATGTTCCCCACAATGATTTGAATGACCATTTCGATTCATTTTTGGGAGGTAGAAAGGCCGCGTTGTCCGACGTCCGACATATCCAATAGATCCCAATATAATTTTGTTAGTTATAGACAGTATACCGTTATACAGCATGCAGCATACATGTTTATATATCCCACCATATCCCATTAGATCCCATCAAATAAAAGTAACTATATTACAGATATATCAAGTTATATCAAGTTATATCCAATTATACCAAACTATATCAAGTTATATCAAGTTATATCAAGGTCTAATATCCTATTATTAAATCCCAGTAGATCCCATTAGATCCCTGTTGAAATCTCATGATATCCAGGAAGATCGGCACCGCCCCGGCGGTGCCGGATCTGGCCGCAAGCCACCACTTCGCCGGGAGACGCCGTTGCGTCGTCTGCGCCGGGGCGGGGGGGAAGTTCGGATCATGCGAAAGTGGTGATTGAAGGAAGACAAATGAGGGATTTTGTGGGATTTGTAGCTGATTCATATTGATTTATCATGTTTTAAGTTGGGTTATAATTTCAATCGCTAGGGTTTATGTTAATCATAGCAGTAACAGTATGGTATAGCCAATGGGGATTCATCAAATGTTGGGGCACCCTATAGATCCTATAGACAAAGCGGTATACGAGCTCGAGTATGCCGAAAGACTCACTTAGGAAGTAGCTGAAGGGATATTTCCAGTACGGTTTACTGGAGAGCAGGGTCATGTTTTCAAGACGGGGACCGAAAGCAGATGAACTAGATCCGAAGCTATAGGCGAATTACGTTGCCTTCAGCTGAGGAGTGGTGCACCGAAAAGATCATGGAACTGTTCGATCATCCAACTGATGGATTGCTGATGCGTTTAGTACTGATCATCCATCATGCCTGTTTCTGGAATGGCTTGAACGCACCTTACCACCAGTCAACATCAGTAAACGATTTAGTAGTAGTTGGATGATTAAAGGTCATAGGAGGCGTAACATGGACGCAACCCCATTATTGAAAGATTTATTTAGAATCCCAAATAGTCAACTGGGTTTATAAGACTGGGTTTACCACACATTTGTACATTCCCCCACTTGTATACTATCCAATTGTTTAGCAACCCACAAGAAGATTCAAGTTATCAAAATCCACAATCTTACCAAACTTAGAAACCAACAATTTACTAGCCCTATTAAACCCTACTAATTCTACCCACAAATAGGTGAGGTTAGTAATTCAAAAGCGCCCCAAGGACCAGTCACCCGCTCCCCGCAGGAGTTCAAATGCTTGGCAGCCCGCATCACCCCAGCGCAGTAGCTTGGCACATTTGGCACCAGGGATGATGACATGTTGGGATAGTATGTTTATGTGCATAAACATATTCGGCATATAAATATACCTATACTGTACTCTGTAGTACATATATATATACATTGTACATGTATATTACATTTTTTTAATATCATACTGTATTGCACCATTTTGTTATATATTTTAACATAATTTTTAACATTTTTAACATACAATATTTATGACATTGTAGCATGTTATATTGTTAGATGTTTTTTGTTATGCTATAGTTTGCTCCCTTATATTTTATATACTTGTTTGATCGCATAGTCCATATTATTGTTTAAAACATGGTGAAAATTATTAAACAATATATATATATATATCACTAATTATAAAGACATTTTTGTTTACAAACGTATACGCAGTGCATATCTGAATATATATATGTGTGTGTGTGCGCGCCCGTGTTTATAGTTGCGTGTGCACGTATATGTGTGTAATCATCCGCCTTTGGTTTTGCAACATATAAGTGTGTGTGTGTGCACATGTGTTTGTATGTGTGCAATTATGTATGTAGGGCAAAAAATTAGCTATGACACCCTCATTTGCCATGGTCGACCCTTCATTTCATGGGCAACATCCTGCAAATTAGCAGATGTTCATGAGTTGTGTGTGGAATAGTTGTTTGTTTCATGTTGTTCCATCCCACGTGGGAGTTTGATTCTTCATGACTCAAATTTCAAAGCATTGAAACCACCAATTGGCATGCATATGTTTTTGTTTAAACAACCCATACAGTTGATGATTTGGACCAACAACATTAGATTAATCTGGCTAGCGACCATGACTGTCACCTGATTGACTGCAACAAGACTAGCGAGAGAAGCTGCCAACCATCTTGGGTCAGACTTGATTGTTGGGAACACCCTTTGCTGGTCATTATTCATTACGCACGCCTCACGCCATCGTTTGGGGAAGTCATTTCAACATAGATCATTTTTGATTAATGACATGCTATTTGATCATCTCTTAGTTTCTGTGTTTGGCAAAAAGAACCCACTGTTCGCCACATACCAAAGTGCGTAGGACCCAATGTCCTTCACATGGAGCGAAAACTAATCAGCTGTGTGATTTGCAAAGTTGTTGCTTGCCCAGCCCCACCCAGTATGATGTAGCAGAATCTTAAGTTTCCTAGGCCAAGGTGGCTTATCAACAGCAAAGAACTTTGCTGGTTGATGTTTCCTATCCGGCGATTTTCCATCGTTTGATGATGCAATTCCGACCTTTGTTGCTTCAATTCCATTTGCGTTGCTTCATTTTATGTCCAAATGATCTGATTCATGGCTTAAAGGTGGATGGCTCAAGCCACGAATACACCTGCCCCCTTGGATCTTCGGCAGGTATGGCTTCGCGGCATCAGGCGCCATCATGCTGTAAGCACTATTTGAAGGCGCGCGCCTTTGGCACAAGCCGCAGCTAGTGCCGCAGGTGCTTACTGGCACAAGCGACTGGTGATCAGCATGGCACTAGTGTGGATGCATCGATGTCAGAAAACATCCACCTTGTTGGAAGACCAGGAGTTTTTCTTGGTTTTTAGAGCCCAATCCACCACACACCAAATTTTTGCAATGTGGTTTTGTGAGCCCCACGATGATTGTTCTCTTACTCTTAGTTTCATCACCTTACTCTCCCCAGTATCTGGACCACTTTCAGACAAACCTTTTTGCTGTCAATCACCGTAGGCCTGTGAAAAGTACGGCACGATGCCAGACATGCTAGACTTCAACACAGGAAACCGGGGGGCCGGCTGTTCCGGCCGCTGGTCTTTGTTGGATCGTCCAAAAACAGAAAAATTGGGGAAAGTGTATGTCGCCATCAAAATTTGGGGCAATTACCATCAATTACCTAATTTTCAGGCACAGCATGGCACATCCACGAATGAAGAGGAAGCAATGCAAATAATTCAATTTTCCAATTGAATTCTTTTCTCGACAAGGTTGTGCCTCTTGCAAAGTGATCCTTTTGCCAGTTGTAGATCCCCCTGGTTCTGAGAAGATGCGGCCTCTCTAAAAATGATTGAAAACGAGGAGTTGGGAGTCGGGAGATGTTTTTCCAATTTCACGTGGCAAGTTTCCAGCAAAGATGCGAAGGTTAGGAGAGAGAACCTTTGATAGTGGGCATGTTGTTCCCAAGAATTATGTGACTCACATGAAAGTTTTCGAACACAAGATCTTTTTCTACGCGTCAAGATATGTCAAGACTCGACCACTTGGATCCATTTGGGCTTTGCTTTCCGGAAGTTCGTCGACGGATCTAGATGTTCAGCCAGCGGGTTGGAGGACTCTCAGATAAGTTCCATGCACCAAGAAGATATCTTTGTGATGCCAATCTCCTGGCAGTTGCAGGACGGGGCTGCAGGAAATGTGGAATCTGATGGTGAGACATCCCCCCAATAATTTGAAAGGCCCAATCGGCCAAAAGGTCGTGGTGTAACGGGAAGGAAAGGAAACAACTTAAACGATCTTAAACGCAACAAACCATTCGTCGAAGCTTCGCAGCATTTCGCAGCCGTGAGGCATGCTGCCGGCCAGAGACCATGTGGAGGAAGTCAATTTGCAAGAGAATTCAAACCTCACTGATGTGAGCTTAGTGCGCCTACCTCAGATCTACAGAGCCAGCATAGCAAACTTGATGTTGTGGCTTTTAAGATCACCTAGTTTTTTTTTTCAGCAGAGGGCTCCCAACTCAGTTGGCGGGATTTAGCCATCATGCAATCAGAATGTGTATATATATATATATATAATTATATTTATATATATAATTATATTTATATATATAATTATATATATATATATAATTATATATATATATATTTTTTTGGGGGTTTCAATATTTTATTTATATATCATTATATATCTATATATCTTTATATATATATCTTTATATATATATCGATATTTATCTATATCTATATATAGATATATATAGATATAATTAAGAGCTGCATTCTGTGCTTCTGAAAGGCCATTTTTGGAGCAATTCATCAAGGCCCGGCAAATCAGCCCATTTGTGCGGCTTGGGGAAACAGTCCTGGCCATAGATCTTGGGGACCTTTTTGGAGCCAGGGATTGTTGCTGTGGATCTGCGGATGCAGGAAATCCTGCACCATCTTGGATGGTTGAAACCCTGTAAACAATGAAATAAACCACCTATCAACTGGTGCGGGGTGTCTTCCATCCACAGTATGTCAATGATTAATATCATTGATATAATACGGTATAAAATATCTCTATTAAAAGGGCTGCCAAGGAGCCCATGCTACCTCTCAAGATCAACGGTAGCATGACCAAGTGGGAGAACAGACGGGGAAGACACCTTTGAGGCCCTCCTTGGAGAACTATAAGAAAATGATGAATACACAATGTACCCTCTGGTAAACATACAAAAAGCTATTGAGAATGGCCATTTATAGTGGATTTGCCCGTTAAAAATGGTGATTTTCCATAGTTATGTTAAATTACCAGAGGGTATATGAGGGTCGATCTAAAGGTCCTTGTAAAGAGTTTTAATTGCGAAGACCGTTCGTGTTATGTTGGGAACCATCGCAAAAGTTGTGTACTTCGACTTCGCGAAGTTGTTGTTGTTTTTTCGCGAGAATAACGCGAAAGTTGGATACTATGAATCATATATGATAATGGATGGAGAGAGAGAAAGAGAGAGAGAGAGAGATGCGTAGGTCTCATATTAGCATGCTTATATGCATGTCATTGGATTTGTAATCATGGAATTACATAGTAGATCATGTGCCATTGCCATGATGATGATGATGATGATGATGATGATGTTTGCTCCACACACATCCCCGTGAGTTGCTGGTCAGATTGGTCGTTTGGCGGATGGTTTGAAGAAGCTGAATCTGAAGTACTGCAAGGCCCGGTGGATGAACATGACAGATATGACAGCTCCTGGGGTGAAATGGTAGGGCACAGTTTCTTTTGCACCTACAATAGGGGCAAAAAGATGCCCAACACACAGCATGTGATCAATAAATACTGCGAGCAACGCGTCTTTTTTTGTCCTCCGTTTTGGCTCTGAGAAATTCACCATGGTTCGGCAAGAAAAATCGCGCGGTGAACGGTTGACAACGATCCATTGGTTGACAGGGTTGTGTTCAATTGGGGTGTGTCCCTTTAACAGCAAAGGTGACATACCCGCGTACTTTTTGTCTTGCAACCCCTTATCGAATCAATCAACTCCGGGCTATGAATCCGTGGTTGAAATCATACAAGAATGTCTCACTTGAAGCTGCCATGGAAAAAATGTATTTGCCAAAGATGACGGCTTTTGAATGGCACTTCGCATATTTATTACATTTTATACACAGTAATCCCTTCCTCCTAATACTAAACCCCCCCCCGCCCCTCCCCCCCCCCCCCAATACAAAACACGGCAGGTAGTTTTTAGTATTAGGGGGGTATTTATTATTAGGGAACCAAATCGAAGTCATGTTAATTAATTAATTAAATTTCCTTATATAACGCAATTAAAATATTGCCAAAAATGGCAGTTCGAAGCTTACCCCTAATACTAAATTAAAACCCTTAATACTAAAAACTATTTTTTCCGATCTCAAAATCAATTAAATTTCCTTATATAACGCAATTAAAATATTGCCAAAAATGGCAGTTCGAAGCTTACCCCTAATACTAAATTAAAACCCTTAATACTAAAAACTATTTTTTCCGATCTCAAAATCAATTAAATTTCCTTATATAACGCAATTAAAATATTGCCAAAAATGGCAGTTCGAAGCTTACCCCTAATACTAAATTAAAACCCTTAATACTAAAAACTATTTTTTCCGATCTCAAAATCAATTAAATTTCCTTATATAACGCAATTAAAATATTGCCAAAAATGGCAGTTCGAAGCTTACCCCTAATACTAAATTAAAACCCTTAATACTAAAAACTATTTTTTCCGATCTCAAAATCAATTAAATTTCCTTATATAACGCAATTAAAATATTGCCAAAAATGGCAGTTCGAAGCTTACCCCTAATACTAAATTAAAACCCTTAATACTAAAAACTAGCCCCCCTAATACTAAACACCCCGGGATGAATTAGTTTTTAGTATTAGGGGGGAGAACCCACAAATGGTAGGTTGATTTTTGAATTGTTTTTTAAAGGGGATCAATTAAAAGTCAAATTGGCCAAACTGAAATTTTCGGAAATTGGAGATGGATGCCTGTTTTTAGTATTAGGGGGACGTTTAGTATTAGGAGGAAGGGATTATATCATATACCATAGGACGTATGTGATCATATATCTTGAGTTATGTTTGGTGCTTTTGAAAGTGAACTTGTAGCAAATACATGAATTGTATATATGAGGCAAACATTGCTGCTCTTTGATGCAATAAGAGATTGGAGAGGGCGATGGAGAGAGAAATGAGAAATATCCATTCAAAAAATCATCAGGAAACGGATTGTTCCACTAGAGGATTGTCCATGAAATATCATTGTCAGGTTAGATTTCCTCGGCAGAACACATATCGTTAAAAACCATTGAATCCGATTCTGGTTGGATTCTCCAGTGCAGTCCCCAATTGAAATCATTTGAATCATCCTGGTTTTTGATATGCTACAAATCTTATGAAATACTCCCATGATAATCCCACTCAAAACCATTATAATCCCATACTAAGCCTATTTGCTTACTATAAGATGTCCATGAAATCATGAAATCCATGTGATTTGATCCCTCCAAGGGATGCCGGGTTCGTCCAGGGGCTGGCCTGGTTGGGGCAAGAGACCCTGCTACGGCTGGTGAGCAGCGCCAAGAATCTCAGGCGCGGAATGTGGTGATTTTTCGATGAAGGGATTCGGGGACTTGTCATGCTACAATAAGCCACAGGATCCATGGTGCTGGTATAATATACTGTATATGTATATATGCTAACATGGTAAATGTTACCATATATAGCAGCACCATGGATCCTATGGGTAAGCATCCAGAACGAAGGGAGTCCTGATTCCAGCGTTTTTGAATGAGAAAGAAATGCCCACGTATAGTGTAAGACGAGGTGATTGGACCAAAACCAGGCACGCTAAAGTTTGATGTTTAAATCTTTTGCATGACTAACATGTGTGGCCTAAGGTCTGATTTTGTTGATGGGTTTCGGCCCGGCCGAGGGAACTCGACCTGTCTGGGGTGCAGATTGGAATGCGGGGATCCTTACAGTTTTTGCACTGTATTGCATTGTGATACCACCGAAAGTGATCGAACATGGATAGCTTAGCCGCTTAGCCAATGCCAATGATTCGACAAAGACAATGGGTCCTAAACTTGTGCATGATCTCTTGTTTTATGTGCGTGTTGACCTACAACAATGCAATGTCGTGCGAATACCGTCAAAATACCGTTTGCATTGAGTCAACAACGTGATTCTCATGCAGGATTGACTCAGCAACTAATTAGATTTGCGAGGTAGGGCCAGGTGGGGCGTTCCGAAACCATAAGTGGGACCCATGACCCATGGGCTTCTCGTCCTTTTTTTTGAATTTTCATTCGATCATTTGTTTTAGCAGGAAATCCCGGAGCCTTTTCGGTGGCTGAGGCGTGCGCAGTCGCGCTTGTGCGAGGCCGTTGGGGATCACCCACACCTTCTGCCTCCTGTCAGATGTGGGGTAGGTTGCAAGGTAACTTTAGCAAGTAAGTATGTTTTAGATTGCTTTAGTATGTTTTAGATTGTTTTTGTATAATTATAGATGTTACGCCATGTTACACGATTTAATGACCCCTCCAATTTATTACTGTTTATATCTGTTTATTAAGAGGGGGAGGTACCAACATTGATATATTATATAATCCTAATGTATCATATATATATATGGATATATATATATGGTACTATCTCAGTGCTGTTACAACAGCCACGGAAATCCAACATGCAAATTTTCTTTGCATTCGCCTCTGGCACAGCTCTGTTTAGAGTCATATTCGAACTCACAGTTGAATGCTCAATTCATGTAGGTAGAACTATAAATACATTATTAAATCTGGATCATTGAGGTATGTCAGGGTATAAGCAGCCAAGCAATTCCTACAGTCTGACTTACCCCGGTGTCACACTTGGCCCTCCAAGCTCTTCGCCTGATTCATGTGGGAAACCGGGAAACCCAATAATAAACCTGCCATTGGGGGATGGTTTGTACATGGCATAGAGTGAATCCTACATGACCCATCTGGGTTTGATTGAAAATTAGCAAGCTTTTTTTTCCGCGTTGGTTGAGAAAAATCCTTATGGTTTTGTGGGTCCATTTCTGCCCCATTGTTGCCCCATACCCACATGGATTTGGAGTATGGAGTCGATTTTGTCTATGTTTGACTGAAAATTCGCTACCCCCAACAAAAATCGTAGGCTTAACCAACATGTTCACCATTTTAATATCAAAATGGCCCATCATTTTAGACCCAAAAACATACGTCACATCCGTAAATCCTGAGGTCCACCGGCCTTAGTCGAGTGGGTTTGGGTGGCCATTGCCTGACCAAAGTGTGCCTCCACGCGCTACTGGGCCAGGGGCTCAGAAGGGGGCCAAGAGCCGGGGTCAATGGAGCTGAACTCGCCCCCTAAATTCACTTGCACCAGGGGTATTAAATCCATGTGCCCAAACGAAGGATATGACCAGAATTTCACCTCCATGACCTACAGCAATGCAATTTAATGTCACCTGTTGTTAAAAACCGTTTTTCCCAAAACACGTGATTCATCGTGATTCATCGTGATTATGATATTCCCACAATACGTTTCACATGTATTTTCAGGTGCGTTTATACGGATGTATGTATGCGTAAAGCACTCCCTGAAACGATACATAGGTGTCAAACCTGATGTTTTGACTTGAAAGATCATGCGCACGCTAAACAAAAACATGTGAGTGTGTTTGTTTCTGGGTTGAAGCACACATTTGTTACCTTCAAGACTACCAGAACATCAATAAATTTACGTTAATTGAAGGGATAGCCTCTGGCATTGAGATTTTGAACCGCCATCAAACTGTTGCAGTCGAGCCATCAGGAAGTGGAACCAACAAGAAACTGAATTTAAGCTGGAATGTCTTCAACAAGCAGGACAGGCGGGGGACAGGAATGATCTCTGATGGCCAGAAACACCGTGCTTGCTCGGGCAGGGCTTACGATTGAACATCTCAACACAGACCCCTTAAACATATATAATATATGCTTAAAGGATCTTGAAAACTATGAACACGGTTTCTGAACACGTACTGAATAGTATGTTGTGTGATCCTCGCACGAGGCACTGGAATGCTTTGAAGTGCGCATACTTCTGGCACACACTGCGCATGTCACATGTCTTTTGAGCATGACACAATCTGAACATCTTTGACAATTTAGCCCTTATGGATCTTAAAGGCCTACAGCATCCTACAGCTATTTCTCAGTGACATCTCCATGTTCTAACACCGCCAGGGGTGTGTAACCGGGGTATCGTCAGGAGTTTCAGCTCATTGGAGACTACGTGGCCGAAAATTTGGTCCTGGAGCATTTGTTGCTGGACCACTGCGCTGGATACATTGTCACTGGGCAATGTATTGCGCTGTCCACGCGAAGAGTCGTGCCCATGAATACAATAAATATATAAATACGATATTGAATGTTGTTGATGGAGGTTGATTGCTTATCAAGTTCTGCAACTTGTTCCATTCAACTTGTGTGAGAGCAAGGATGGTGGGTAAAGTCGGGTAGAGTCTGTGGGTGAAGCAACACAGCGTAAAACTCGTACAAAACCACTGTCAGCAAGGGTGGGCATGATATGGCGTTATGTAGTACTCAACCACTGTCAGTATTCAGTTCTAAAATGTTCATTTATGCCAATCACTGCCTGGAGGGATTTGAAGTCGGGCACACTCACAGGCGAGGGAAGATACGCCTATCTCCCATATGGTAGAGAAACTGGCCTTCAATCACTCTTTGAGGACCTCTAACATGCGTTGAGTTGTGAAGTTGAGCGTAGCGGCGTAGCGATGTCCTTTTTTGGGATCTACTGTATCCGGGATCAGCCCCAAATTGGGCTGTTCAACGATTATCCAATGATGCCAAGCCAACATGATTGACCGGCTGAGCCTGAAATTGCAGGAGCCTGAGCATCAATACCAACCGCATCGATTCACGAGCTGCGCTGGTCATTGAGGCTGGCGCTGCGGT